AAAGCAAACATAATCACTCACTCAATAAAATATTCAAATTACTTGTAATGGTAATTTTATATCATCATCATTAATTATTATAATGAAAACACTCAAAACAAACCCCATTCTTAATTATAATAAAAAAAAATTTGTGTTGTTTTTTTTCTGTGATAGGTTATGAGTAGTGTGGGTGGGTGGGTTAGAGTGGGTTTTTTTAATAAATTCAGAAAAAAAAATTATAAAAACAATAATAAATTCTATATTTAATATATAAATATGTACTACTACTCTTTATTTATATATATTTACACAATAAATTAAAAAAACGATATATATCAAATGGAGTGCTTTTTAAATTAATATTTTTTGAATTAAATTTTTTTTTTTTTTCAAAATAATGGTATGATTAACCTAAATCTATGCACAATTTTTTTTTCTTTTTCTCTTTTTCTTTCTTTATACAAATACATAATATTTAAAAACTCAAGTTTCATAATCAATACTATAATTACTATTTTTTTACAATATTTTTTTTTTTTTTTTTTTTTTTAATTTCGCGGGATTTTTTAATTTATTTATTTATTTATTTATTTTTATATATTATTTTTATATATTATTTATTTATTTATTTATTTATTTATTTATTTATTTATTTATTTATTTTTCAAATTAACTTAAATTCAAGTATCAATTATTATAATCACTGTATTTATTAAAATTACTATATATATTCAAATAATTTTATTTATTTTTTTATAAAAATTTTGTTATTAAAATCCAAAAAATAATAAAAAAACCCAAATTATTTTACACCTCTTTAAAATAACATTAATCACCCCCCCTATATATTTTATAAAAATACGGTTTTTATAATTCATTAATCATTTTTCCTATATTTTTGGTTTAGTTTATAATTTTATATTTTTAATCTATAATATTTTAGTATATTTGTAAAATGGGGAAAATATAAATCTATTTTTTTTAAAATTTTTTCAAACTTTTAGTACTTTTTTTTTTAATTATTATAATATTGTATCACATTGTTTTTTTTTCTCAAATAAAAATATCATCGAATCAGTTTTTTTAAAACCTTAACAATCATAACTCTCTTAAAAGAAACAAATTTGTGTTTTTTATTTATTTTTTTTTGTGATTTTATATTTTTTCTAAAAAACTTTCGCAAATTTTTTATTTTTTTTTTTTCAATATTTTTTTTTTTTCTCAAAAGAGTTTTTTTTTTTTCATATCACCCATTTATGTTTTTTTGTTGTTTGTTTGTGTTATTTTCAAATTTTAAGGAGAGAGGTCTAGTGCAAGATTACAAGATTTTCTTTCGGGCGCCCCAAAATTAATACACACTCAATTCAAAACATACATAATACTTTTTTTTTTTTTTAATGGTTGTATGTTTTTTTTTTTTTTTTTAAAAATAAAATATCTCATGTATAACTCAATTTGAAAAAAAAAAATAAAAAAAAATAAAAAAAATAAAAAAAATGCATTTTAAAAAAAAAAGAAATTGATCAGAGACCAAAAAAAGAAAAGGAGACTATATTTAGTTGTATTGTTAATTTTAAAATTAGAGCGACAATCAATGGTTTTTTTTAACATTGATTTTAATTGTGTGTTATAGGAGCGCGTTGTTTTTTTTTTTTTTATAATTATGTAAATTAGACTATTATATTTTTTTTTTTTTTTTTTTCTTTTTTCTTTTTAAAATTTTTTTTAATTTTATCTTGGAAATAAAAATAAAATACTAATAGTTGTTATAATAAATAAAGTAATAATATATAAATAAAATAAATAGCTTATATATCATATATAAACATTAAAATCATAAATTAATGAATAAATTTTTTTATTTTACATAGAACACCCCCCCGCACAACATTTAAATAGATTTACAACGAAAAAATAAAATTTTATGTATGTTTTTTTTTTTTTTATTTTATATTTTTGAAGATTACTTATAAATTTTTTTTAACAATATAGGATTTCAAATTATTTTTAATAAAAAAAAAATAATAATCATAATATTTTTTGTATAATAAACAACAACAAATTATAATATACAAATTGTATAAAATAATAAAAACATATAATAGTAATAAATATAAAATAATAGTAATAGTAATAATTATTATTAAATAACAAAATGGAAGCACTTTTAATTTTATCAAGTGCAATTAGTGAAAAAAAGTTAAATGGAGATAGTGTAATTATACTCGACGATAAAAACAACAATATAGACAACGGTAGCGATAATGAAACAGAAGTTAATGAAAAATTAAATGATGATATTAGTGTTGAATTAAATAAAGATTCCGATAACTCATTATCACCAACAATTTTAGGTTTAAAAAATAGAGAAATCTCCAAAGAAGAGGGAGCAGTTGATGTATCATCTCAAACACAAAATACAGCAAACACCGCCACAATAGATTCAAAAAAAGTTAATAAAACTGTTCAAAGACGTAAAAAGAAGTTTGATGGTAAAGATGTTTCCGAAAGAGTTAAAGAAATCGAAAATGATAGAAAGAGAAAATCATGTATGATGCATTGGAGATTCAAACCAACATACAATAATAATAATAGTAATAATAATAGTAGTAACTCTCAAACTAATACCAATAATATTCAAAATATTAATAATTGTAATAATACCCCAATAAATGGTTATAACCAAAATAGCAACTTTGATGATTTACCATATGATGAATATGAAGAAAATGAAGAAAATACCATTACACCCAATTATAATAGTACTAATAATAATAGAGGTAATAATGATAATATCAAAATCAATAATAGTAATATTAATAACAATAGTAATAATAATAGCAATAATTATAATAATAAAAATTTAAATGATATTGAAATTATTGACCAACCAAAAATAAAAGATGATGAAAAAATTGAAGTAATCGACAACAGTAAACCAGAAATTAAACTTAAAGAGCAAGAAGTTGAAACATTATCATCGGAACATGATGATAAAGAACAAACAATACCCAATACAAACTCTATCAAGGATCTCCAAGATCAAAAGCCAAAAGATGATGCCACCGATGGTAAAAAGAAGAGGAGAAGAAGCTCAACCCCATCAATTCATAGCTATGTTTCACATTGGAAACTCGATTCTAAAATTCCATCAAAACAAAAACAAGATCAACAAAAATTACAACAAGACCAAGTTCAACAACAACCACAAGAGGCATGTAATCAACAAAACTTTTACCCTAACGATCAACAATGTTGCCAACAATCACCACAATTCCAAGATCCACATTATTATCAACAAGCACAATATCAAATGCCATCTCATCATCAATTCCAACAATATCAAGACCACCAGCAACAATACCAACAAAATCCAAACTATATCTCGAGAATGCCTTCTGATGAATTTAACAATGGTGTCGACATGAATGGAGCTTACCCAAAATATCACCCATATAATAAAATACCTTGCGGAACAATTAAAACATTTGTTAGTTCACCATCAAGCTCACCTAGAGTTACTGTATCCCCACGTATCTCGAGCTCGCCAAGAGTACCAACTTATTCTGACCATTCACCATTCCATACCCCAAGACCAACTGAAAGAAGACACTCACTTGGCAGTGTGCCATCATATCAACCAACTCCATATGGTGGATATCAAGAGGCTCCATTGCAGTATCAACAACAGCAACATGTTTCAATTCAGCAACAATCATTACAACAACCATCACCACCATCATCACCATCACCAACTATACAACAACAACAACAAACACCATCTCAGCCAGTACACCACTCAACAACTCCACAATTTCATATTCAGTTGCAAAATATTCATCGTCATTCTCAAATGCAATTATCACCTCATTTATCTCCACACTTATCACCACATCATATTCCAATGTCACCCCATTTATCTCCACATCCACCACACTCACCACAAATTCAAGTCCCAATGTCACCTCATTTATCTCCACATCCTCAATCACCTCATCATATCCCAATGTCGCCACATTATATTTCATCACCAGGTTTACACAGTGCTAAAAACAATGCTTACCTCCAACCAATACCTGAAATAATGCATCAATCAATTTCATCACAACAAAATAATAGCGTTATCGAATATAATTCAAATTGTCCCTCATCATATCAATCAATGTCACCTCCCCCAACACCATTTTCTCCTCACAAATCTATGGTACAACCATCTCCTCGTTCCAGCTCAAACACTCCAAGAACGCCACACTACATTACAAGTGAAATGTTATCATCACCAAGACAAATTTCAACACCTCAAATAATATATAATAATAATAGCAACAATAATAATATAAAATCGATGCCATCACCATGCATTATATCGGCATCATCATCACCTTCCTCACCAGTATGTAATGGAAAGAAATTTGTGACATCTATAAACCTTTCTAATACCAGTGGATGTTGTAATGAAATGATATCTTCACCCAAAGATGGTTGCGAAAAATTACCTTCAGTTAAAGATCTACTTGATAATCTTAACATCAATTCGCCCTCTACAACTCCAAATTCTCAAACTCCAAGAGTAGTGCACGAAACCAACAAACCTCAAAAATCAAAATTATTATTCCTTTTAACACCAAATTCATAATTTATAATATTTTTTTCTATAGAAACAATAATATAATTTGTATTTTTATAATGTCAATCTTCAATTTTTTAAATATCCTTTCAAAAAGAAAAAAAAAAAAAAAAAAAAAAAAGAATCTTAATTTCTTTTATTAATTTTTAAATAGTTTTTATATATATTTATTTAAAAAGAATTATTATTTATCAAAACTTTTTCTTTTTTTTTTTTTTATTTAAAAAAATATAATAAAATATTTTCTTTTTTTTCTTTTTATAAATTATAAAAAAAAAAAACCTCAAAAAATAAATACTTTTTTATTACTTTTATTTTTATTTATTTTTTTATTTACTTAAAAAAAGTTTTTATTATTTTTTTAATCGAAAATTTTTTAATCATGTTTTATTTATTTTACTCCTTTAAGGAACCATTCTTTTATGTTTATTCTTTGTTCCATAGAATTTTAAAGAAATTTCTAAAATATTTCCACACTGTTTCGCAAATTGCTTCATATTGAAAAAATTTCTATAATTGAGTTTTTTTTTTTTTTAAATAAAATTTTTTTTTTTATTTATTTTCGAGTATCAAAATTTTGTTTATTTATAGTTTTTTTTTTTTCTTCATTATTTTATAATTTTTTTAGTTTGAAACTTAATTATATATATTATTAAATATTGAATAAAAAAAGATATAGTTTATTTATATTGATAAAAAAAAAGAATTTAAATTATTTTTTTATTTTATTTTTTTATTTTTTTTTTTTTTTAATTTTTTTAAAAAATTTTTAAAAAAAAAAAGTGTATTTTTTTTTATTTTTTTTTTCAATTTTTATTTTTATTATTTTCATTTCATCTTCAACTCGTACCTTTTTTTTATTATTTTATTATAATAATCATTTAATTCTCAAAATTTAAATAGATTGGGATTAATTTTAGTTAAAATTTACATATAAAAATTTAAAAATAAAAGCAAAACAAACAAAATCATAAATCATTTTTTTTAGGTATAGAAAAAAAAAAAAGAAAAGAAAGGAAAGAAATAAAATCAAATCAGCGGGAAGAAAGAAAGAAATAAAAACATCAACACGATATAGAATAGTATTTATTATAGAAAATATAAACCAAATAGATAATACATATTTTACAAATACAAATATATAAATAAATAAAAATGTTTAATAGTAGTCCATTTGGTTCTTTTGGTGCTAAACCAGCCGCTAATACAAGTCCATTTGGTTCAAATACAACAGGTCAAACAAGTTCATTGTTCGGTAATACACCTTCAACAGGTAAGTAAATAAAATTTTTTTAAATTTTAAATTTTTTCACAAAATAATCATAATACTAATAATAAATTTTAATTAATTTAGGATTTGGTGGATTTGGTGGATTTGGAGCAACCCAACCAGCACAACCAGCCCAAACAACAACATCACCATTTGGTGGATTTGGAGCAACACAACCAAGCACCCAAGCATCACCTTTTGGGGGATTTGGAGCAACCCAAGCAACTCAAGCAACACAATCTACATCATCACCATTTGGTGGATTTGGCGGTGGATCAGGTTCAAATCAAACTCAAACAACATCACCATTTGGTTCTTCAAGTAGTTCATTATTCGGACCAGCAACAAGCCAACCTCAAACAACATCACCATTTGGTAGTTTTGGTAATGGACCAACCACCACACAAACACAAACTCAATCATCATCTCCATTTGGCGGTTTTGGAGGAGGTTCAACTGCTTCTGCATCACCATTTTCATTAGGAGGCGCCACACCACAACCACAGGCTCAAACATCATCACCATTTGGTGGTTTTGGTGGTGGTGGTGGTGGTGCAACTGGTGGTTTTGGTTCATTTAATCAAGGACAAAAACCTCTAGGTACCCCAACCCCACACCAAAATACATCAGCAGACGGTTGCACTTTAGTTTCAATTACTGGTATGCCATGTTATAGTGACAAATCATTCGAAGAATTAAGATTTGAGGATATTACTCACAGAAAAGATGCTGTTTACAAAACTGGTGGAGCTGCTGGATCTTCAACAACTTCACCTTTTGGTCAACAAACCAATACATCATCACCATTTGGTGGCTCAGCAGCCTCAACTTCACCATTTGGCCAACAAGCCAACACATCATCACCATTTGGCCAACAAACTACTACCACTCAAACATCATCACCATTTGGAACCTCTGGTAGTTCATTATTTGGTAATAGTCCAACAACATCACCATTTGGTACCTCAACTACAACAACATCACCATTTGGTACCTCTGCAACCTCACAACCAACTCAAGGTGGTTTGTTTGGTTCAACACCATCAACAGGCGGTTTATTTGGTTCAACACAGCCAGCTCAACAAACAAGTTCATTATTTGGTTCACAACCAACAGCCCAAACCACTTCTCCATTTGGTACCTCTGCAACTAGTACTGGTCTTTTTGGTTCACAACCAGCAACTCAAACCACTTCTCCATTTGGTGGCTCAACAACAACTGTAAATACTGGTCTCTTTGGTTCTAATACAACAACTCCATCAACTACAGGATCACCATTTGGTTCCACACAATCAGCTACACAAACACCATCATTATTCGGTGGTCTTGGTCAAACAGCCGCTACTCAACCATCAACTGGTCTCTTTGGTTCCAATACAGCTTCATCAGCTTCACCATTTGGCACTGCACAACCAGCTACACAAACACCATCATTATTCGGTGGTCTTGGCCAAACCCAAACACAACCATCATCAACTGGTCTCTTTGGTTCTAATACAGCTTCGTCAGCTTCACCATTTGGCGCTACACAGCCAGCTACACAAACACCATCATTATTTGGTGGTCTTGGTCAAACCCAAACCCAAAACCAACCATCATCAACTGGTCTCTTTGGTTCTAATACAGCTACATCAACCTCACCATTTGGCGCTACACAACCAGCCACACAAACACCATCATTATTTGGAGGTACACCAGGACTTGGTGGTTTGGGTCAAACTCAACAATCCACCTCATTATTTGGAGGTACAACCCCAACATTAGGATCTACTGGGTTAGGAGCCCAACAATCCACTTCATTATTTGGAGGTGCAACAAACACACCAACATTAGGAGGCTTAGGAGCAACATCATCATTGGGTGGATTAGGTGGCACAACCACTCAAGGTTTAGGTTTAGGTTTAGGAACTGCTCAACCATCTACAAGTTTATTTGGTGGATTGGGTCAAAATACAACCTCAGGATTATCAACAGGTGGCACAGGTTTATTTGGTAATACACCAACACTCAATCTTGGTGGTGCACAAACAACCTCAAATACACTTGGCTCAACATTTATGGGTTCATTACAACAAACCCAACAAGTTCAACCCCAGCTACAAAATCCACTTCAACAACAACCTCAATTACAACAATCACAGCTCCCACTTAATAATAGTATTAACTCAGCCAACCCATATTACCCAATCCCAGCTGCACCACAATTTGCATCTTTAGTTAAACAACAGCCAACCAAAGTTATTTCACCACCATCCTATTCACAAAGACCACTCTCACATCATGGTTATATACCAAGATCAACCACAAAGCTTATTCCAAAAAGATTAGGTCCAGGTACAAATGAAGATTTAGGTTTCTCAGTTTTACCAAATCCAAAAGGTTTATTCCCAATCGATAAATTTGTTTCAAACCAATCAAAATCATTAAATATTAATACTTCAAATGAAACCGAAGAATCATTAAAACCAAACTTTGGTAAAAACTCAGCATCAACATCAACAAACTATACCGATAGTCCAAATACTTTATCATCAATTTATAATCAACCACCAGCTTCATCCTATCAAGCTTCATCTTCATCAACATCAATTCCAAAATCAACTTCTACCTATGATTCATTTGAAAGTAAGCAACAAGAAATTGAAAAAGAAACAGAGAAGAAAAAAGAAATTGAAAAACAAAAAGAAATTGAAAAGAAAGAATTTAAAAATCCAAATGCACCAAAACTTACAAAAGCTGGTTATGTCACTGATCCACCAATCGAACAATTACAAAAATATTCAGATCAAGATTTGAAACGTGTTAGATACTTTACAATTAAAAGACCAGGTTTTGGTCGTGTAGTATTCCCTGGTGAAGTTAATGTTTTCGGTCTTGATTTAGATCAAATAGTAGAAATTGAACTTAGAGAGGTCACAATTTACAAAGATGAAGATACCAAACCAGAAATTGGCCAAGGTCTCAACCGTCCTGCTTTTGTTACATTAGAAAATTGTTATCCAAAGAATAAATCTGGTGAAAGAATTAAAGAAGGTGCTCCACTTGACAAATATGAAATTGCTCTTAAAAATAATTGTATAGAAAATAATTGTACATTTATGTCATATAATAGATCAAATGGTGATTGGGATTTCCGAGCTAAACATTTTAGTAAATATTCGGTAGAAGAAGTTGTATATGACGATGTTTCAATGGATGTTGATTCAAAACAACAACAACAGCAATCTCAACAAAATCCAAGCCAAATGAATGTTACATATCAAAAACCTTTGACAGTTCCAAAGAAGTCAACATCTAGATTTAGTGCTGATATTGGTAGTTTTGACTCAGATTCTGAAAGTGCATCAGCCGTAAGTAAAATTTTAAAATTATTTTAAAATTTTATTATTTTAAAAATATATTATTATAATCATTGTCACTATATAAAAAATCAAGTTTTTTCATTCACTCTTACATAAATCACAAATCTATCATAATAAATAAATAAAATATTTTTTTTTATAATACAACTTTTCTAATATTTCTTTTGTAATTTTATTTTTTAAAATTTTTTTTAAAATCTTTTTTATTTTTTTTATAATATTATTTAGGAAGAAGATATGACAGTTCCACAAAAGAAAAGCTATAATAAAGCTCCTTTCGTTAGAAGAGTCAACAAAGAAGAAAGTGTAGGTTTTTTAATTTTTATTAAATTTTTTATTAAATTTTTTTTTATTTACCAAATTTTATTTTTTTATAAAAGGGATTATTCGAAACATCATCATTTGAGCCATATGATAGAAGCGAAGGTATTGCACCAAAAATCCAAAGAGTATCTGAAGTTCCAACCTTTGTATCAAATAAAAAGAGTGTTACTTTTGGTGAATCAACATTAATTTCACCTTTTTCACAATCACAAAATCCACAAAGACTCCAACAACAGCAACAGCAACAACAACAACAACAACAACAACAAAAATCAATATACCAACCACAAAATAGTTTAATTGATAAAGCCGAAACTACATTTAAAAAACCACAACCAATTTTAACCAAGAAAACCCCAATCAATGAACCAATGAATATATCAACAATCAATACTGTATCAAATAAAAATTATTTTTCAAAAATTAAAATTGATCCATCGTCATTGGACCGTATTGTACCAAGAGAAGAGTCAATTATTGAACAATTAAAATTAAAAGCAAAATCAAATACATTACATAGCACTCAAGATAGCTCAATTTATATGAGAAGATCGTTTAGAGTTGGTTGGGCACCAGGTGGTGGTTTTGTTACTGTCTCAAAGAGTTCAATTCAAACATTATCAATTAAAAAAATTCCAACTGATACCAAAGATGATAAAAAGGAATCAATACTCAACTTTATTAGATGTCACCATTCTAATAGTTCATTAGTACCAGAGCAAAGTAAATCAATTGGTTGGTTCTCATTGGCCAAAGTTCAAAATCAAATCGAAACACAATTACAATTAGGTGTCCCAGCAAATCAAAGTGTATACTATAAGAGAATTTGGAGTTTGGTTTTAAATCTTTGGGGTATTGAACAGGCTAATAAATATGGCACAGATTATTCAGAAGATACAATTAGAAAATTAAATTTAAATCAATGGCTCAAAGAAGCAATAGCTCCAATCATCAGAGATGAAATTGAACAACTTAAAAAGAAAACAAATTCAAGTTATTTAGAAAAGATTTTCTCTCTTCTCTCCGCAAAACAAATTAAAGAAGCATCAGCCATTGCAATCGAAAATAAAGATTTCAGATTGGCTACAATGATTTCTCAAGTTTGGTCAAGTAGTTCTACTCCAAAAGAATTAATTACTAGTCAATTAAATTTATATAAAGAAACAGGTGCCGATGAATTTATTAACAGCAAAAGAATTGAAATTCTCGAACTTGTATCTGGTAATATTGATCAAGTTTACAAAAATATCAACGATTGGATCAGATGTTTTGCTATTAACTTTTGGTATAAATATTCACCAAACTCAAGTATTGAAGAAAGTGTTAATAGTTTCGAAGAAGGCTTCATCAAAAGAATTTCAAAATTCCCATTTCCACCATACCAAAAAGACCCAAAGGAGCAAATTAAGCGTAATCATGATATCTGTTTCCTTTTATTAAAGTTGTTCTCTACAAATACTTTTGAAGGTTTCAAAAATATATTTTACCCAGAGAATGTTGGAAAGGATCTTTTAGATTATCAATTGTCTTGGAACCTTTACACTGTATTAAAAGCAATTCCTCAACTTGCAAAACAACCTGATATTTCCAATCAATGTATTATTCATAGTTCATTCTCTGCTCAATTAGAAAGATTGGGTCTTTGGCAATGGTCCATCTATGTTTTACTTCATATGCCAGATCATTCAAATTTTATTAGAGAAGATGCTGTAAAGGCCATCATTGCTAGAAATGCACCAAATATTAATAACCAAAGTAAGTTATTCCTTTCGACCCAACTCCATGTACCAGAAGTTTGGATTGACGAAGCCTTAGCATGGTACACTGGATATGAACCAAATGCTGATCTTTATGAACAAATCGAATCACTCTTAAAATCGTTCCAATACTCTAAAATTCATAATATCATCCTTACTTCACTTGGTCCAAACCTTATCATTCATAAGAGATATCAACTCCTCAAAGATTTACTCATCAAACTTGAACCACATTCTAATGCTGTTTCAACTTGGAGATATGGAGGCCAAATATTTTTAGAATTTATAAATATTGGTATCGAATATACAGAAACTATATCAAAACTTTCAATGGTTAATGAAGAACTTGAACGTAGTAAATACTATTATAACCTTAGAGTTATTTCCTCTAGAATCAACAATCTCTTAAGTGATATTTCAAAATTATCTCAATCATCCGATGTCAAAAATACTACACCCGACTATAAACACTCACTTTCATTCATGTCAGAGGATCTCATCAATAGAGTTTCCCTTTTAAAGGATCTCCCAGAAAACACCACTGTCAAATTAAATACTACAATTGGTAATTTAATCTCAACTATTAATGGTCTCCCACTGACCCAAAGCTATAGATCAAAAAATTTAGACTCTTTATCAAACCAAATTCAAGAGTTATTACTAAAATCAATTTATAATAAACATTAAATTATATTATAATTTTGTAAATGTAAATCTATTTTTAATTATTTTATTATTCTCTTAAAAAAAAAAAAAAAAAAAAATATTTTATATTTTAAACTAAAATTTATTGAATATATTTTAAATTAATTTGTTTTAATATCTATATTAGACTAAACTATCTAATGGAAGAAAGCTAAAACAAAGAGTGAAAGAATAGCAACAAATAATTTAGAGATACCAACGTTGGTGGCATCATTACCAGCTGGAGTTTCAGTTGGGTTATTGGTTGGGAGTGGGATTGGTTGACAACCTGCTGGACAAGTTTCAGCTGGTGGAGCAGTTGGTGGAGTAGTTGGAGCACTAGTACCTGGTAAGTCTAATAATAAAAAAGTAATTAGTAACTAAATATAAAAAATATTGGAGAATTTATATATTAAATCATCAAACCTGAAATTTTTGATGAGGAAGAATGAGAGGAGGATGATGAAGTCGAAATAGAATTAGAGATAGATGAAGAAGAGAAAGAGGTAGGAAATGAAACTGATAATGATGAATTAAGTGGACAGGGATATATTATTGTTGTTATTTTTGATTCTGAATTAAAGAAAGATGAAAATAATGTGGAAAAAGAAAACTTACTAGTATTGGCACCACCACAGTTGGCATCTAAATTGATATCAAAGAAACCACCATCATAAGCAATCCATGATGAAAGACCAAAGTTAGAGTTTTTACCTGAGGCACCAGCACCTAATTGCATTGGCATACTATCTTGTTCAGAGAAACCAGAGAGGGTGGCGTTACCTAAAGTACAGCTTGAGTTACTTGGATCAAGAGCATAAAAAGCCCAGGCAAATGGATCAACTGAACCACCATTTGAAACGTATAATTCTGGTTTTAATTCTTGTTTTGGCATTGATGGAGCAACAGTTGGGACGTAATTTAAGGAACAGGTTAATACATTGTTTGATGTAACTTGAGTGACACCTTTTGGAAGGAGATGGAAGAAAATTGAAGCATGACCATTGGTAGTATCAAAATGTAATGAACCTTGAGTGTTTGGAACAAATTCCCATTGATGGTTATTTCCAAAGAATGGGTTAGTATTTGAATCAGAGACAAAAAGGGCTTGATCATTATCAACAGTTTGAGCGGTTTCTGTTGTATTGACATGGGCAGTGGTGAGAGTGTAATCAACACAGTTGAAACCACCCTCGCAACCAAGATTAACATTGATATCAAGGACTTGATCACCTTGAGTAATTAAGTTAGCATTTGGATTATTAGCACTGGTAATATTCATTAAGAACCAACCTGAGAGACCATTGTTAACATTTTTACCTGAAGCACCTTTACCAACTTGAAGGGCTGTAGTTGGATGTTCTAATAAAGAAATGGTAGTACCTTGTGCATCACCATAACCAATTAATTCTGAGTTGGCTGGATCAATTTGATAAAAGTTCCAAGTATTTGGGTCAACACCTCCGGTTGTATAAGCAGCGTCTGTTAATTCCTTTTTGACATCTGATGGAGTTCCTGTCTTAGTAAAAGCTAAACGGACACCATAGCTTGCACCAGTTTCACCAGAAACTGGTTGGATTGAACCTGAGATGAAAAGATTTGATCCACCATTGGATGAAACGATACCATTTCTAACAAAGTTATAGTTATTAGCAGTGTTTGGAACTGAAACCCTATTTAATGTGATTGCTTGGCCTGATTGTGATGCCCCTGGACCAAATTGATCGCTTAATGCAGCAGTTGCAGCTATAAAAAATTGAAATAATAATAATTAGTATATTTTTTTTAAAAAAAAATTTTTTTATTTTTTTTTTTTAAAAAAATTTTACCTTGAACATTGGTATTAACTTCGGTTTGGCAATCTTGAGCACCAATTGACCCAACCAAAAAGGCGAGTAATAATAATGAAAGTAATCTTTTCATTTTGAAATTATAATTTTAATAACTTAATATTAAACTATAATGTTTTGTAATAAATTAATAATATTTATAGGTTTTTTAAATAAATAAATAAATAAATAATAAATAAATAAATAAATAATAACAAGTTTTTTTTTATTAACTTGTAGTTGTTTGTTGTTTGAATGATAAGAAAAATAATTATTATTAGTATTTATAGGATTTTTAATTTTAAAAAAAATTTTAAAAAAAAATAAAAACATTATTAAAAATTAATAAAATTACTTAAAAAGTTTAATTCTATTCCTCTTTACTAACCACCCTAAAAAAGAAATTAAATTTTTGCTAAACTTAATACCACATTGGAAATTATACTTTAAATTTTTTTGTATAAAAACATGATTTGGTAATAAAAATGTCAATTTTAATTTACTTAAAATTTCTATACTAGATATATTTAGTTTGAATGGTGGTATTATATAAAATATTGTGGTGTGTTTTATTCACCAACATGGTAATGTGGGAAGTGGTGAGGTTAATTCCATGGTTAATAAATTTCCTTAATTATAAAATAATTATTTAAATATAAATTATTTAAAAAAACCACACCACACTTTAAATTTTTTAATAATAAATTTATTTTTTAAACACACACCGAACATAATTATTTAAAATAATTTAAATTTTATTGTGTGGGTTTGAAAATAATTTTCCAAAAAAAAAAAAAAAAATTTTATAGAACTTGTTTAACTTTATTTGATCTTATTATTTGAATTTTTCATAAGTTTATTTAAATTAAATATTTAGAGATAATAAACTGATTAAAATATTTTTTTTTTTTTTTTTGACTTTTGGGCTAAAAAAAGTATGAAAATATTTATTTTTTACAAACACGAAGCGTTTTATCCCAAAAATACCGCTATGAATCATTTGTATTTTTTTTTTTTTTTTTTTTAAATTTATTTTAAAAATATTTTTTTAAATTTTTTTAAATTTTTTTTTACAAAAAAAAATGATTTTTTTTACAATATTGTTTATTTCCTATAATCACTTTTTTTTAATAATAAAATAACAATAAATGTTTAATAAAAAGGTATGGACCCTTGTGTCCATTATCTTTATGATAATAACAGTAAACACTGTTATATCAACTAAAGTTAACGACCAACCAACTATCAAATATAAAAATGTTCCATCCGAAATTCCATTTTCTATGGATTCTATGTTCCTTCAATTAATGGTAGGTTTTTTATACTATTTAGAATATATTGTAAAGAATAATGGTTTTAAATATATATTTTTTTCAAAAAAAAATAAAAATTTAGTATTCATACACTGCATATTGCATTCCTGAACAAATTGTTAATTGGACATGTCCATATTGTATTTATAATAGCTCTGTTACACCATTATTGGTTACCCAATTAATTGATAATGATTCAACAAATACTTTTGGGTTCATAGGTATTACCACCGATAAAAAATCAAGTATGTTATTTTTGTATTAAATTTAATAATATAGGATCACTAATTTTTTTTTTTTTTTTTTTTTTTTTTTAGTTGTTATATCATTTAGGGGTACAGAGATGGAGTCTTTGGATAATTGGATTACAAATTTAAATTTCCCAAAATCAGAACCATATCCAGGTTTCCCAGGTGCATTGGTCCACAGTGGATTTAATAGAGCATATAGAAATGTTAGAAATATTGTTCATTCAGGTTTAAATTTCACATTAGGTGTATGCCCAACATGCGAAAAGTTAATAATAACAGGACATTCTTTAGGTGGAGCATTAGCAATTATGGCAGCAACAGATATTTATGAAAGCCAATTAACAACATTACCATTAGAAATGTACACATTCGGTTCACCAAGAGTTGGTGATGTTGCATTTGCCGAGTATTTCGAATCAACTGTAATTACAAACTATTGGAGAATCGTTTATGATCACGATTTAGTACCACATTTACCACCAATGCAATTAAACTTCTACCATTTACCAACTGAAGTTTGGTTTAATAATGCCTCAGATCCTTCACAACATATCGTATGCAATCCAACTGGTGAGGACCCATCCTGCTCCGATTCTTTAAAAGTAGCTCTTAATGTATTTGAACATCTTGCTTATTTTGGAATCAGTAAAGATTTATGTTAAAAAATAAAATAATATAAAAAAATTATAAAATTAAATTTAAAAAGTTATTTTAGTTTGTAAATGCTGGATATTTGCGGCGGGTTTATAATCAAAACAATAGATAGAGTTTATTTTAAAATACCACTATCACTGAATGCTGTTTTCAAATAAATTTACTAGCAAAGCTTGGATTTACTATATAAATAAAACAATACAGCTTACCCCACCCACCATTATTTTTATTATTTTATTTCAAATAAGATAAATAATTTTGTAAAATTAATAAAAACACACCCACAGTGTTTCTCTGAACATTTTTCTATAAATAGATAGTTGTAGAAATTAAATATTGTATTATTTTAATTATGAATATTTTTATTTTTTTATTTGTTTTATTTTTTTTTATTTATTTTTTTGACTTAAAAAGATAAAATTTTTTTTTTTTTAATATTGTTTTGTATATTTTTAAAAATGAAATTATTCCTTATTTTTTTTATTTTATTTTTTTCAATTAATTGTTTCAAATCAAATGCAGGTGATGTAGATACATCAACTCTTTTTAGTGATGTGGAAAGCAATTTATTACGTTCATTAATTATTGGTCAACTAAACAATAAAATCGATACTTTTAAAATGGATGTATACCATCAAATTAAAAACGACACAAAAGCTGAAGATGGAAAAATACTTGCAGTATTGGGCGAGAAAGATTTTTTTTTAAACAAAAGCCTACTTCAAGAATGCATAGATCATAAAATAGCATTAATATTAATGTAATTATATTATAAATATCCTAAAAAAATTTGGTTATTAATTTCTTTTTTTTTATTTTTTTAAATTTTTCCCCCACAAAAAGCAATATAAACTCTGAAGATAAAAAGGATTTATGCCCATTGGTTTTTGATTGCAGTAAGAACACCGATGACTATTTCTATATATGGCTACCATCAAATAAAGATAATTATGAATTTAGTTTTAGTTTGTACAAAAATAAGAAAACTGAAGCACCAACCATTGCATCATCATCCTCAGAAACATCCAAAAAAATCATTAATAATGCCAATATTGACAATACATATATCCTCAAAGCAGAAAACCCATTTGAAGAATTAGCCAAAATCATTGAAAAAGAAAGTTTATTTGGGGAATATAAAGTTGAAAAAGACCAAGATAGAAAAAGAAAAATAAGTGAATGGATTAATGGTGAAAAACTTGAAAAGATCCAAAAAGAAACTGTCAAAATGGTAAGTATTACCAATGATAGAACTGGAACTATATTTGGAAGTAAATCATTGGCCGCTGATGAAGAAAAACTTACAGAATATATAGAAAAAAATATCCCAATCTTTTTATTGTAAATATATGAAATTAATCTCGTTAAATTTTTTTTATTATAAAAAACATTAATAATTTTTTTTTAATTTTTTTTCCCCCACCCACACAGAGATGTAGACGAAAAAGAAAAACAATTTTTCTGTAAAAAAATTGAAAGTTGTGCTAATGGTCCAAGCTATTTCGTTGCCTTTGTTCCTTTCAAAGATGAAAATGGAAATTTGGAAAGTGTCAATGTTTATGACTATTTGAAAGATGGTACCAAATTTACTGTGACTCTATATAATTTTTAGAGCCATAGTTAAATTTATAAAAGAAAAAAAAAAAATTTTATTTTTTATTATTTAAATTTATATTTTAAATTTTATTATGTTTTTAAAAAAATAATTAAAATATAAAACATAAAATAAAATTATAATAAATAAAAATATAATTATAAAATTTAAAACTAAATTTATAATCATTTTTTTGGTTTAATTTTATTTTTTTATAATTTAAAATTTTAATTTTATTTTTTATTTATGTTATTTTACATTTTATAAATTTATTTATTTAACTTTAATTTTACTTTAAATTATTTTTTATTTTTTTATTTTTTTATATTTTATATTTTTTTTATTATTTTTTATTTTTTTCTTTTAATTTTGTTTTTAAAATTTTTAATTTTTTAATTTTTTTTAAATTAAATAAGGAAGTGTAGTAATGACATAACCATGACACCAAAGAACCATTGATTTTATATTATTTTTTTTTAAATTTTTTTTATTGATCGTGTCATTTTAAAGAAATTGAAGCATTACTAATTAAAAAGGAATTTATTAAATTTTATTAAATAAAAAAATCTCTCATTATCTTTTTTTTTTTTTTTTCCACAAACTATTTATCAATTTAATATGTAAACCACTCACACACACATAGACACAACCATTATAACTTAAACTTATTTATTTTAAACACAACACGTAGGCTAAAATAAAATAAATCTTTTCAAAAAAAAAATAACAATAATAACAATAATAAAAAATTAGTCATTGCAATAGTTTAAAATCATATAGCGCAAATATTTTAATAATAATAAAAAATAAAAAAAAATATAAAATAAATTTTTTAAAAAAACCTTCCTATTTATTTATTTATTTAATTATTTATTTATTTATTTATTATTAAAAAAAAAATTATTTATCTTGAAATCTATATTATAATAATTAGTATTATTTTAAAAAAAATAATTGTTTGATTTCATTTTCCCTTATTTTTGTTTATATTTTTCTATAATATATTATCTATAAATAACTATACTTTAAAAGATAATATCTAATTATTTTCTCCCTATTTCCTTTATTATATATTCCATATAACAATATATTTCCTTTTAAAAAAAAAAAATTCATAAAAAAAACTATAATAATTATAATAAATAAAACTTTTATTTATTATATTTTAATATTAACAAAATAATGCCTTTAAAATTATTCAATAAAAAAGGAGGTGGTAATCAGCATACAGTAAAACTAAAAATCGATTTAATCTCAAATGTTTCATATGCATTTGATAAAGGTACAGAATTCGAAATAGAATGGAAAAGAGGTGCACACAGAGGAGTTTTACCAAATGTTTATATGTTAAATGATGGCGATATTAAACCACAAACTCAATTTCTTATTCCGTGTCAATTAATAAAACAAAAATCAGACTCTGGTGATTCCGAATTTGCTTCAAAAAGCTTAATTATAAATTTAAGAAAGGTAAGTTATTATTATATTATTTTCTTTTTTTTAAATTTTGGTATTAATTATTTTATTTTTTTTACAGGTCGAGGGTAAAAAGAAAGGGTCAACCAAAATATCAACACTTCAAATAGATTTATCACACATGGCAAATAAACCTGATCCAGAAAAAGAAAAACAATACTCATCAACAATGAAGGGTGTTATAGACCAAGATTTCAAACCATATGTAGGTAGATTTATATATAGCTTTTAAACTAATGATAGGTTCGTGCATATTAATAATATTTTTGATATATAGATCGAATTTACAGCATCTGTATACAAAGGACATTTAACCCCAGATGACTTTGAAGATAGCAAAGTATTTTTAAATAACGAAATACCGCATGAAGATAATTCAGTAACCCATTCATTATATTCAGATAGAAGAGGCTCCATATCAAGTGTTTCTAGCGAGGTATCCGAGTATTCCAATATACAAGAAACTACTTCAGAAATTAACCATATTGAAAAAAATCCAACCCCAAAAGAGGATGAAGATAATAGCGATCCATTTGATTTTAGTTTCAATTCATCACAACCTGCAGAATTTTCAAGAAAGAGTCTTAGAAACTCCGTTACATTAGAAGAAAGTGATCCTCTTCAAAGCCCCCACGAAACTCCAATTTTTTCATCTGACGAAGATCGTAAAAAAAACTCACCAACATTGCAAACACCACAAAGTCCAAATGTTATTTCACCAACCTACTCCTCCAGATCAGAGTCTTTTAATAACTTGGACAATCCAGAGGTCTCTCCATCTATTCCCCAAACACCCTCAAAGTCTAAAAAATTCTCTTTATTCAAATCAAAGAAAGGAAAGAATGAAAGCCCAGACTCAAACCAAAGAAAAGGAAAACCAGAAAACCAATCAATTTCAAAACTAAAAGAAACATCAGGTTTTGATGATTTATCATCTGGGAGTGGTAGTGATACCGAAAGTGTTGGGTCCAATGGTAAGGAAAAATCAGGTAGAATTTGGAAAAGAAGACATTCTACACCAAATGTTGGGTTCTTTTCAATCAAATCATTTAAAGAAAAAGAAAAATTAAAAGAAAAAGAAAAGGAATTTGCCAACACCCCATCAACCGATTTTGGTAATTTAACAATTAATGAAACCGATGAAAACAACTTTATTAATGAAAACAACGATTTAAATAAAAACAGCTCACTGGGAAAAGACCATGATGTTTCAAAAAAAGAAAAAAAGAGCAAAAGTCACAAAAAGAAAGGCTCAGTCGATTCAAACTCATCCAGCTCTCCACCAGGTAAAGATAAATCAAGAAAGAATTCAAAAGAAAAAAACCTTTTGGGTAAAATATCCTCAACACTTTCATCAAATAGTGCCATTAACTCATCCGACTCAAAAGATGCTTTACAATCCTCATTAGTCTCTAGAAATCTGGATGAAAAGATTAAATTCATTGTTGACGATATGATTGTTAATAAAAGACCCGAATATGTCGGCAATGTCCCACTCTCTGGTATTATAATATATAAATGCCTATTTGAATGGAAAGAACTATCGCCACATAATAACAAATGCCTAACTCATGTTATCGAAACATTTGACTCTATGACCCAGGTATGTTAATTATTTTATATTTTAAAATAATTTTATTAAACTAATTTTTTTTTTTCCAAACAGAAAAAGAACATGGGTAAAGAAAAATCATTTTATTGGTTATCATCTTTATATACACTAGGATTTTTATTAGAAAAATCATATGAAAAGGGTAAAGGAACTGAAAAGTCACCAAGCTTTACACTTTCAAATAATAGTGAAACACAGAATTTGAAATTATTTATAAATCTATCACATCAATATCAAAAAGCATTTTGGTCATTGTATTGGGATAATATCAAAATCGAACTAGATAAAGTTATGGGCAGAGTAGTCGAGCAAATCAAGGCAAAAGAATATGAACAAAGTCCAATTTATATGAATTTCCTTTTATCAATGCTAGATTTCTTTGAAAAAAGATTACCATTCCAATCATTATGGCCAAATTTATTCAAACAAATTTTCTTTTATACAAATGGATATTTAGTAAACAAATATTTAACTGACAACTCGATATCAAATACAAACAATGCAGTTAATACCAAACTCTTTATTTCATCAACACAACAATGGTTCCTTGAAAACAAAGATCTAAATTATTTTTATTATTTCAAGCAAGTATTTAATATTTTTTTAATCCTAAAACTTAATACTAATCTATTTTAAATTTTTAGGTTAGAAATGAATACTCTTATCCAATTATTAGATGTTTTAATTATCGATAAAGTATCACTCAAAGATGAAGCCATTAGAAAGAACGTTTGCCCATCATTAACAACCACTCAATTAGCTATAGCATTATGTAGATTTAATCCAGAGAGTGATGATGAAGAAGTCGATCCAAGTATTATTAAATATTTACAAGATGAGGGTATCAGAAAACACGATATTCAAAACATTACAACCAATGTTGATCAAGTTTTAGAATTGACAGAATCACCCGAACCAAGCAAAAGTATCATAGATTTGAAAATACCACCAAATATTTTACCACAAACAAATCAAAAACTATTTAAATTTTTAACCAAACCAACAACAATATATTAAAAATAAACAAAGATTTAAAAAAAACAATAATTTAATAAATATTATTTGTTTTTAAAAGAAATAAATAAAAAAGTGTAAACATTTATTTTATTTTATTTATATATTTTATGATTTTGTAATTCGTGACCATCCTCTTCGTTATCATCATCTTCCTCCAAAACTTGGGTAGAAATATCGGATACCATGGCAACCCCTAAACCTGAATCAGCTACATCTTTATCATAGTATGTAACTGAATCACTGGAGGATTTTGGTGATGATGTACTTGATGGGTTTGGAATTTCTGATCTATTTAATGTATTTTTAACTTTTCTAAAAATAATATTTGATACTAAAATTGATATCATCCATAGTGGGAATAATAAAAAGTATATGTTTAATCCTGAAAATAATCCCTTTAATCCCTCTCTGCTTACAATATTTCTTAGGGTTTTAAATAATCCAACATTTCTAATATTCATTCTAACCTTAATAACTTTAAAAAAAAAAATATTAATTAGTTTTAAGTTACTCCAAATTGAAAGATACTATTGTTATTTACCTGTTAAAATATAGTCCAATAAAATTTTGACACCCATTAAAATAATTTGACTTGGAGATTTTTCTGATTGCTGTTGCTGTGATTGATTAAATACATTCTGTTTTCTTTTACTTTTTAATTGATCATCCAATTTTGAATAAATAAGATCTAATAATGATTTTAATACAATTGTTTCCCAACCCTAAAAAAAAAAAAGGGTTAATAAATTGTACAGATAATAAAAAAATTTTAGCATTAATATAACCTACAGAATATAAACCCCTAATACCCTCGTTCCTACAAACACCAGTAAAAGTACACTCGTTAATATAGTGTTGACTATCCCTTCTATAAAATCTATGTACAATTAGACGAGTCATAATTACATCCAATGGAAGAGTGAGACCATATTTTAATAATGATAAGCCACCACTGATACCTTTAATTGTATTTGGGCCAAAGTTGCTTGGGTGTTTTGGTGAATTTTGGGATACTATTAAACGATCTTTGCGAAAAATTTATAAGTACAGTAAGCATATTTTTGGCTATATAACCAAACCCCCATCATAGATATGGCACCCCTTATATTTAAAGTTTAACTAAGCAACGTGAAATTGGTGTTGGTAATTGTTCTAAACAACCCTGTCGAAACTGCTGCCGGTTGTGCTATTGTATGACTGATAATGGTTGACGAGTTGGGTGTGATTGTATAAATGTTGTTAAGGCATGAACTGGGAATTCAAGCGGGAAAAATAATAGTTTGCTGCATGCCAATGAACCCCACTGTAATATAAAATCAAACGTTGTCTCGTGCTCTTGTCTCTTTTTTAAATTCTTTTTAATACTTCTTTGTTGTCTTTGTTGTTGTTGAATTTTTAATATTTCATTTTGTTGTATTTGTTGTTGAATTTTAATGTTATTTGGGCTATTATTTGGACTACTATTATTTGGACTACTATTATTTGAATTATTATTTACAATATTATTATTTTTATTTTCTATATTATTAGTATTACTAGTACCATTATTAATATTATTACTATTATTCTCACTATTAATATTTTCGCTGGTATTTTTATCTATATCGCAAGGATTATTATTTTCTGCAACAATATTAACATCTGTATTGAAAACGTTTTCTTTTGTTTCCCCAGTGTTATTACTACTATCATCATTATGGTTGTTATTGTCGCCTGTATTTATTTCGGATGGCTCATTACTGCCTGTATTTTTATTTTCTGTATCTAAACTATTTTCTTCATCATCTATTTTATTATTTTCTTTTTTTTCTGTATTATCCAAGTCTTCATTAATTTCAACTGGATCAGTTGTATTATTATTTTTTTCCATTTTTTTTTACATTAATATTATAATATTTGTGTAATAAAAAAAAAAAAAAGATTATAAAAAAAAAATTAAAGAAAAAAAAAAAATTAAAAAAAAAATTAAAATTTTATTTTTTTATTTTTTTTATTTTTTTTAATTATATGATCCACATATTTCCCAAAAATGAACCTGTTGTGGTGTTTTTGATTATGTGTGTGAAAAACAAATATATATTTGGTCATAAAATAAATAATACAAATAAATAAATAAATAAAATTTTAAAAAGGTGTGGGAAAAAATAATTTTAAATCTTGGATGATGATTTTTATTTTATTTTTATCTTCTTTTATTTTTTATTTTTTATTTTTTTATTTTTCTTATTGTTACAAAATAAATTAAATAATATAAATAATTTTTTAAATTGTTTATTCATTATCGCTGTCATCTGCATCAACTGGATCATCAACACCTGGATTAAAAAAATAAATAATTAGTAAATGATAATTATTAAACATTTGATGATGATTAATATTATAATAGTTGATTATATATTAAAAACCTACTTGTGTCAACTCTTGGTACTAATAATTTACGGCATTCGACATCTTTGGCAATTTGTAATGGAGTATTGCCATCTTTATCTTTAATTGAAACATCTGCTTTACCATCAATTACTAAAACACGAATGGCATCTAAATTATTTTTATAAGCAGCTTTGTGGAGTGGAGTTTCATTTGATGAAGCAGTAACAGCATTGACATTAGCTTTGTATTTGATTAAAACCTTTAAAACATCGGCATGGTTATTCTTTGCGGCCCAATGAGCTGAAGTTTCACCAATTGAATCAACACAATTGATATCTACTTTATTTTCTGCATCTAAAATGAATTCTTCTACAGATTCATCTTCACCTCTTTTAGCTGCGTTAACTAATCTTTGATTGATAAAATATTGATCATCATCCATTTTCTGCTTGTTGATTTTAAAATTATAATATAAAAATATATAAATGTATGTATAAAAAAGAAAAGAAAAAAATAAAAAAATAAAGGTGGTGTATCTCTTAAAAATTAAAAAAAATAAATAAAATGAAAAAAAAAAAATGAAAAAAAAAAAAATGGGTTTATATCAAAAAAAATAATTTAAATGGGATTTTTTTTTCAAATAATCTAATTATGAGTATTTTTTGAGGATAATAAATAGATAAAAAAAAATAAAAAAGACATTAATTAATGTAATAACTTACATCAACTCATAATAAAATTACTTTATTTGTTTAAATAATTTTTTTTAGGAAAAAAAAAAAAAAAAAAAAAAAAAAAAAATTATTAATTATTAATTATTAATTATTTATTCATAAATTATTTATAGAACTTGAATAATGTATTTTTTTATTATCCCAAATTTATAATCGGAACATAGTTTAAATTCAAACAAATAAAAAAAATTTATTTGAAATATAAATATATATAAACTTATATTATTTTTTATATAAAATTCTATAATTAAATTTTTTATATAAATTTTTAATATATTAAAAATTTATATTAAAAGTAATATATAAATATAGATATGTGTGAAGATAATTAATTTATTTGTTTGAATTTAAAAAAAAAAAAAAAATTAAAAAAAAAAAAAATTAAAAAAATTAAAAATTTTTTTTAAAATTTTTTTTTTTTGAAATTTTTGTGTGTGCCTTTTTGTCATATAATTTTTATACATATAGATTATATCCATTATCTCTTTTCAATCGATTATCAAGAATTTTATAATTTAGTTAATCTTTATTAAAAAAAAAGAGCGTATATATAAAAATGGAAAACGAACAACAATATAACGAACAATCTCAACCACAAGAAGAAGAACAACAAGTCAATATGATTGATGTTGATTTACAATCATTATCATCATCAGACAGAATCGAATATATTAGCACATTAATTGCAGACAGTTATAATATTGCCATCGCAAAAAAACTCGAAGAATTTTTAGATATTCAAATTAATGAAGATGTATATTTATTCCAAGCAAACAGCACCCTCCTTAAATTATATCAATTTAACCCAACTCATTTAAATAAAGACGCAATTGCTAAGATGTTAGCCAAGGCCCTTATGAATTTCCCATGCAATGACTTTTTATTCCTCTCTTATATGATTCCATCAACCATTCAAAAGGAAGAACCATTATTAAAACTTTTCGTTTTAAATAACTATTTAGAAACATGCAGATTCAAAGAAGCTTGGACCCACATCAACGCCCACTCCTTCTTCTCTGAAATCCCAGCATTCACAAATAATATTAGAAACTTTATTTCTGGTGTCTTATCAATCACTTATCAAAATATCTCATTAAGCATGTTGGGTGAACTTTTAAATTTACCATCACAAGAACAATTAGTCGAATATATTAAAACAAAACAAACAACCTGGAAAATAAACGATTCAACTGTATCATTACAATCTGATACTTCTAAACAGAAAAAAGCTGACACTTTTACTTTTGATCGTAAGTAACCAAATTATATCAAATATATTACATTCTAAAAATATTTACTAATCTTTTTTTATTTTTTATATTATTTTTTTTGCACAAAATTTTTTTTTAAAAAAATCGTTTTTTTTACATTCACAATATTTTTTTTTAAAAATAATTTACAGAACTTTCAAGAATTCTCCCAACTTTTATTAAATAAATATAGTTATTATTATTATGTGTTAATATAGATAATATAAAAAAAAAAAAAAAAAATCAAAAAACCAAAAAAAGAAAAAATATTTAATTATAGTTTTTTTTTTTTATTAAAATAAAATTTAATATTATTAAAAATTAATTATATGTGTTATATAATACAGTTTAACATTTAAATATTTATATATACATTTTAAAAAAAAATTATTACTTTAAACTTTAGTTTTTATTTCTTGTATTTTTATTTTAAAATTGGGTGTTTTTTTAAAAATGATGGTGATGGTGGTGGTAGATTAATTAAAATTTCTTCTTTTTTCTTATAATATGTAATTGAAAAATCAAAGTTATTTTGATCGTCTTTTGGGTGGTGATGTTGTGAAACTTGAATCCATTTAGATTTCTCTTCTTCGCTTGGGAATGGGTTATAAACTACAACATCTGTATCATCGATATGTGTATCTATATCTGTAATAATTAATTCATGGGTATATGGTTGTGAGGTTTCATAGATACCTTTACCACCAACAATGTATACTAAATCGGTTTTTAATGTATTGTCAGCATAATGAATACCGTCTTCAACTGTTGGTACTACTACATAACTTGCACCTTTTTCTGTTACACCTTTTTCATATTCTGGTAAATCAATCTTTTTGTTCTCTCTAAGGTTCATAAACTCCTCTTTCTTTGATACTATAATGTTAAATCTATTAGGTAATAAATCACCAAATGCTTCAAGTGTTAATCTACCCTATAAATATAAAATGTATATTAATTATTACAAATTTTTTTTTTTTTTAATTAGATTAATAGATATATACAATAATACAAGGAAAGCCATGAGTTGTTTCTTTAAAATGTTTAAGGTCTTTTGGTAAATGCCATGGTAACTCACCAAGCTTTGATCCTTTTGGGTTGGAGCCTATAACAAAATTTTTAGAAACTGCTACAATAATCGATATTTTCATTTTTATAGAGAATAAAAAAATAAAAAAAATAAAAAATTTTAATTTTTTTTTTTATTTTTAAAAATTAAAAAAAAAGCACAATTAATATATAAAAAGTGTAGTTATTATTATATTCGTTTAGAATTTTAATATTTTCCAAAATCCCGCTTTAATATCTTTTTTATATAGTTTCCACCAAAATTTTTTTTTAATACGAAATATCAAATAATATTTTTTTCTCACCTTTTTTTATTAACATTCAATAAAATAATACATATTATTTTTATTTTTATTTTTATTTTGAATTACAAGCAAATCGTTTTGCAAAAAAACTGAGTTATGTTATTTATTTTATTCGAGCGCTAGAATGCTAAAGTTTTATTGAATATTCTATATCACCATATTTGAATGGGTTTTGAAGTTCATTTGGTGAGTAGGTGTGGAAGAAATCTATATCATGGGCTATCGAACTATCAATTTCATCAAGTTCGAATACCTCTTCAGATTCCTCGCTATCGTTATTATCGCCGTTATTATTTTTAATATATTGGTCAAAATTTCTTTTGTTATTATTATTTAAATTTATGCTATTATAATATAATGATTTGTCATTGTTAATTGATTTTCTTTCGAATTCTATATAATTTAAATTATTTGATGGCTTAAAATTGTATAGCTTGACAAGGTTCCAGTTTATTATTATCGGATATTTTGTTATATATTGATCATTGATTTTGAAACCTCTAATGATTAACCTTTTAACTGATGGATGCTTGAAAGATATGGTCTTGAAAATTTCAGAGAAAACATATTCTTCATGTGAATCGAAAGTACGTATTTCCATTTTAATGGTTTCTAGATTTACTGCTAAACCCTCGAAAATATTTAAGAAATATAATACTGCATTTGTTTTATAATCCAACATAAACTGAATATATTTAATTGACTTTAATCTTTCTTTACTATGTGGGTTCTCTTTGAATGCTTTCATTTGTTTCTCTACTAAATGATCTGCCATAGTATGAAGAGCGAATGAATTGATATTTTGCATATAGCTTGAATGGTAATATTTTAAAAAGTTTAATGAATCTGTGGCCACCTTTTTAACTAGTGTGTTTTGTTGGTTTAGATCTTTTAAAATTCCATGCTTGAAGCTATCAGACTGACCGGCATAGGCGTGAATTCTAAATTTTAATTGTTTTTCATTTGATAGTTTTATGAAATCTGACCAATTTGAAATGATTTGGCAAAACAATGGCCTCATATTAATCTTTTTTAGTGATTTCATTTCGATTAAATGCTGAATATCCTTTGGTGAAAAGCCCAGACTACCTCTACCTTTGATCTTTAATATTTCGACTGAAGTAAATAGGTATTTTAGTTTTGAAAAATCTAAACATTTGCTATAGACACCGCCTGGTGTAGTAATTTGGTGAATTTTAATATATTTTACTTGTGATGGCTTTAGTAGTGAATAGTTCCCTATTATATTCTTTACATTGTAGATATGTAATAGTATTTTGATTGGTACACATGTTGAGTTATTCATAATGTCAATTGTATTTTGATAAAATCTCTTTGATACTAACGCTATTGATAACTTTTCTTTGGTTTTGGTGTGTTTATCATTTAATAATAAAATTAAAATATATTGATGTAAATAACTTGATAGTATAATGGTACCTTTATCTTGATTTTGTTGGCTATAATGTGTGTGATTTATATTTAGCTGTAAATTATTAAAATTTATATCATTATATTGTTGATATTTTATGTGATAAACTTTTGATTGTTGAATTTTTGAATAAAATTGGTGCATTAGATATTTGTTTATGTAATCCATTGGTAAAAGTGATAAAAAATGATGGAGTTTTCTTTCTATAAACATTTTTTTAACTGGTGCAATGCCTTTATCAATACTTGAAAGCATTACTTCTAATATTGGTTCTCTATCAACCATTTTATCTTTGTATAGGCAGGTGAAAGCGGTCTCGAAATAGTCCAATAGTAGTTCCGAGTCTTCAATGTTTAGTACGTCAGGATCCCATTCATTTTCAATATACTCTTCAGCTCTGTAGATTTCTTGCAATATTCCCAATCTACAGTATGGATCTAGTATTTGACAACCCTCAACAAACATATCTAGGAACCTAAAGAATGAAAATTGTAATTTTAGGCTTGAACAAAGTTTGATACAAATATTTATAAATTCTTTTAGCCCCAACGGAACACAAATTCTACCTAGTGTTGAGAGTGATTTTGTTACTCGTTTTAGCTGAATGTCTCTAATAAGTTTTTCAACTAATTTTAAATCCATTATTCCATTTTCTAAAAATGAGCAGATTAAAAAATTATATTTTAATTTGATTAAATCTATTGTTGGTTCCTTTTTATTTGGACTGGTTTTTGGGTTTATTGTTTTCTGTACTATGGTGAATTCTTTACTAGTCTCTTTAGTATTGTCTTTTATAGTAAATGTGTAATCCTCTATATATTCAGATTCTCCCTCTTCATGTTCTTGTTCCTCATCATCAGAGTCTGATTCTTCTAAATAGTTTGTACTATCTTGTTTTTTTTCTGGTAAATTTGTTTGGACCTCTTCATCATCATTGATATCATCGTCTCTGTCCCATGGCTTTAGGATTTCTACCCTAAACATATAGTCACGTAAAGGTTCTATTAGATATTTTTTATAGTGATTCTGTAGCTGCTTTATTACATTCACAATATCCAACAGTATAAAACTATTATCTACTACCGATGTTGCTAAACTATTATCAATACTATTATATATTGGTATTATTATTAGCAATGTGTCTATGTATGATTTTAAAAAGTGATCTGATATTATGATTTTATAATCTGGTACTTTATATCTAAAAGTGAATGCCATATCACTGCTTTTATAGTCGCACATTATTTTTTGAAATGAAAAGAAACTATCTGATGATCCTTGACTAAAACCTAATAACTGATTAAACAAATTTAAATTCTCTTGTTTTTCACAACTGCTAATGGGGTGGTTTATACTATTATTGATTCTATTTAGTTGGCTATATAAATGTAAAATAGAAAAAAAAATATACATATGACCCAAATCAAAAGGTAGTTTTTTGAACTCTTCATTTTTACAAAATTCTTTTATTTTATTTAAAATTTTAACCATAGGTTCCTAATTATTATAAAATGAAGAAATTATTAATATTATGATTGGGTTCAATGAGTAGTAGTTAGGTGGTTATATTTACTTTACACAATAAATGCGAGTTATGTTTAATTAGACCATACACTATTAAATAATTATCAAATGATGGAGGTCTTTCTTCAGGGTTATCTTTTTCATTGCCTAAAGATATTGAACATTCTAATTGATTTACAACCAAACTATATATAAATTCCTCTTGCTCTTCTTTGTTCTTATAATTTGATGCTACATAATTATCATATCTACACGCTATATACATTTCTTTGTTTTGATCTTTAAAATTTTCAATAATTCTTTAAAAGAGATGTTATTATTAGTTTTAATAAAAAGTAATTGATTTTTTATAAAAACTAATACATACTTTTTTATATTTACAAATTGTTGATTAGTGGGTGGTATTGTTTTGTATAGTTTAAAATTAAAATTATTTGCATAGGCATTTTCAAATAAATATTCTATAAATTGTTTATATTTTAAATACATATATCTCTGTTTTTCTATAATTTGATCATTATTGTTACTATTACTGTTACTGTTGCTGTTACTATTGTTATTATCGCTGTTACCTCCACCCACCGGTATTGTATTTGATAAAAAAAATGATATTGTTTTATTTAAATCTAAATTTATATCATATTGGTTTATTTCTATATTCTCTTCCATTTTTTATAGCTATTTTGTTAGAATATTTTAAAAAAATAGTAAAGAAAAAAAAGCAATTGGTGGTGTATAAAATAAAATAAAAAAAAGTGTGTAAAATTGAATTATTTTAAAAACTTTTATTTTATTTTATTTTATTATTTTGTTTTTTAGCTGGGAACTATACAATTTAAAAAAACTATTTGTTTATCATTTGTTTTTTATTATTTTAATGGAAAAAAAAAAAAAAAAGTTAATTATTGTTTCGAAATAAAGAATAAAAAAAAGTTAAAAAAAATTTATAAAAAATATAAAAAAAAAATTAATTTTTTAAAAAAAAACATATCTATTTTTTTTTTTTTAAAAAAGTGTGTGTTTATGTGTTGGGTGTTTAGTGTTTTTGAGATAAATATAGAAATAATTATATTAAAAAAATATATTAATTGTATAATTAATAAAAAGAATATTCTTTTAGAATCAATCGATGTAAAGCCGTTTCATAAAATTTAAAAATAAAAATAGAAAAATAGAAAAATTGAATTTTTTTTTTTTATTATTCGAATTTTAGTATTTTAATAAATTGTTATTTTTTTACCCTTAATGGGGGCAACCAACCATGTAAATCTGAAATATTAGTTTCGATTATTTAGAGAATCAAATGGTTTTTTTTTTCAATTCGAAATTTTCAGACCATTGATAAATGAATATTAAAAAAAATAATTTTATAATTTATTTGAATTTTCTTAAGAAAATTAATATAAAAATAAAAATGATTGCATTAAAGTTATTGATTAATATTTTTAAATTTATATAAATATATATTTATATTGTGTGTTTTAATAAATAATTTTTTTTTTTTTTCTTTTAAAAAAAAAATTAAATAAAATAATGAAAATTTAATTTTAAAAAAAAAATTTACCCAGTTTTTATTTTTGCGTTTTAAAACAAAATTAAACATTTTTTGTTTCTTTAAATAATAACAAATATAACAAAAAATAGATAAATTAATAAAATAAATAAATAAATAAATATTAAATAGATGGACACAGTTAGAGTTAATTATGGTTTGGATGGATTCGAATTAACATATCCATCATCATTTAAAGGGGCAATAGAACCAACTGAATTTGAAACTACTATTCGTACTTTAAATTCAAAAGTAGGAGAAATTAAAATTCCCAAAATATCATATATTTTTGTTATACCACTTTTGGTTGGAATCATTATGCTATTTATGTACATGAATGAAAACCAAACAAAAACTGTGATAGGTGGTATCATCATGTCAATTGGTTTAGTGGGTGGTGCTTTTTTTTCAATTCAACATGCAGTCGCCGTAAGTGACGATAGTTTGAAAATAACTAAATATCAATTTACTAATCATTTATTCAATAGGTAAATTCCAGATTAAATGGCGAAATAAAAACTATAAACGAACATTTTTCAGAAAGAAGAATTTCATGGTCAGTAAAATCAGAAACAATTTATGAGGAGGTGGATATTGATGAATATGAATTCCATAAAAGCAATAAAGCATACAGAAACTCACTTTCATTTGACCACAAAGGAAAACCAATGAAAAAAAAAACAAGAAAATACCTATTGATTACTTTTCCAGCACAAACCCAACAAACCCAACAGGATTTACCACAATTTACTTTTATACCAGATAGCGGTAATATGAATAATATATATGATAGCAATATAAATAATATGGATTATAATAATAATTTTAATAATAATAATTTTAATAATATGAACTTTACAAATAATAATAATAATAATTTTAATAATAATTACCATTAAACTCATGTTTAATATATACTTGTTTTTAGTTTAAAAAAAATCTTGTAAATAAAAAATAACTATTGAATATATCGATTATAATAACGAAAAAAAAAAAAAGTTATTTGTTTATAAAGTTTTTATTTTGTACAGGAATTTTTCAAATTGTTTCTTTTAGAAATCCATTGAAATTGAAACATTTGGATTATTGAAGTTATTGACTTGGAAATTTTGGTTAGATGCTGGGAATACAATTAAAATAAAGTAAACAGTAGTACGTTTCATTGGACGACCGTTTTTATCATAGACAATACCATTTCGGTAAGCTTTGTTATTTTTATGTACTTCGTATTCATGTGGATCAACATATTCTTCAACAATTTCAGTTTCTAAAGTCCATTTAATTCTTCTTGAAGCATAATGCTTATTAATGACTGTTAATTCTTTTTTAATTTTATTTGTAACCTAAAGTATTAATAAAAAATGAAATAACGGGGTTAAAATATGAAAATTAAAATATTAATTTTTTTTTAAAATAATATACATACTCCTTTTTGGAAAATACACATGCCAATACCAAAAGCAATGCAACCAACGAAAGTAAAGGCTATACCGATACCAATAAAAACTGGGCCATTTGAATCATAAGTATCTTGATTACTTGGGTCTGCTGATGCAAACTTGGCAAAACCAGCAATGCATAAAATAACACCAATAAGGACAGGAATAAAGCAAAAAAACAATTTCTTTGGCATTTTAGTTTCAGTTTTTGAATTTAAAGTTCTAATAGTAGTTTCAAATTCGTTTGGTTCCATAACACCATATAAATTTTGTGGGTATATTTCTTGGAAAGTACCGAAACCACTACAACAACCTTCATCTCTTTTTGCTTTAACTTTAGCAGAATTCATTCTTTATTTATTTATTTATTTATTTATTTATTTATTTATTTAATTAATTGTGTATTGATAAAAAATTTAAAAAATAAAGCAATCAGTTTTTAAATTTATATTTTTCGCATTTTTTCATTTACGAAATTTTTTATTTTTTTTTTATTTTTTTTTTATTTCCATTCTGGCAATCTCAAGAAAAGCAAACAGTAACACATTAAAATTTGAGGAATAAAAAAACTTTTTCTTATTTTTTAGGAAAAATTAAACCATTTTTTTAAAAATATTTTCAAAGCCATCTTGATGACAGATTTAGTTTAGGTTGTAAAGAAAAAAAAAAAATTTCTTTAATCCTTTGTTTTATTCTGTGATCGTGCAGAAACTTTTTTTTTTTCCTTTGGTTTCTAAAAAAAAAAAAAAAGAATTTTAATAATATTTGTAAAATTGTAAAATAGGAGCTAAAACAATAATATCCCTGTAATAATCATTTTATTATTTTTAATAATAATAAACTCCGCCCCAAAAAAACAATAATAAACAGTATTATTAATTATTTAAAATAAATCGCATTTTATTATTTTATTATTTCATTTCTTTGATTGGCACTGATTGTAACCATAAATTATGAAGTGTATCATAAAGTTCTTTTGTTATACTAACTTTATAAGGAGTTGGATTACTATTACGAAGGTGATCTTCTCTAATTTTTGAAATTTGATCAAAGCAATAGTTTCTGATTTCTTCTAAAGATGGGAGGTCGATGGTTGGTTTACCATTTTGGAACACTATATGGTGAAGCTTTTCAACTTTTTGAGGGGTAACAATAACTCTTTTTTGTTCCTCGAATGGATGAAGGCATAAAACACGTTTACCAACCTCTGGGATTTGTTTTTCATGATCAGCGGCATTTTGGCTAATTAAAATATCAACAAGTGGATGTCCTTCACCGCCATATAAACGATAAGCTTCTTTTCTACCTGGTAAAGTGATTTTATTTGCTTCATGTGAAAGCTTAATACGAGGTGAGCCATTGATTTCGACCAATTTATAAACACATCCTAAAGCTGGTTGGGCTTGGCAGGTAACGAGGTTAGTACCAATGGCAAAGACATCGATTTCATGGCCTTGTCTATTTAGTGCTATGATAGTTGGTTCGTTGAGATCATTTGAGGCAACAATTTGGAATTTAGCAAAATAATCTAAATGGTACTTTTCACCGACTTCTTTAAACATTTTTCTTGTGGCTTTTGAAAGATATGATAAATCACCACTATCCAAACGAATACCAACTGCTTTATAACCAATTTTATTTAATGCCAAAGCTACACAAAGGAAATTTGGAACACCAGAAGCAAGAGTATCGTATGTATCTACCAAAGCAACTAAACCATTTGGGAATGTACGAGCATAGGCAACAAAAGCAACTAATTCGCTTACAATAGTTGTGGTGTAGCCCAACTCATCACGAAATTGCATTGCTAATTCCAAGAGATTATGAACTTTACCATTTTTATCTTTTATTGTAGGATCGTGTAATTCTTCTGATTTACTGTAGCTAGTTACAAATGAATGAGCATGAGTACCACGGATTGGAATACCAAAGAAACAATAGGCTAACACATTTGAAGTACCATCAGCACCCCCTAAATAAGAGTAACGTGAAGCAGACATTGCCCCATCAGGTCCTTGGGCTCTTCTTAAACCAAACTCTAGCATTACTTTATCTTTACCAACAGCAATACGATGACGTGCGGCATTAGTGGCTACCAAACTAGCAAAATTAATTAAACATAAAAGTGTAGTTTCAAACAGTTGACATAAAATCATTGGACCTTCGACACGAAGCAAGGGAATTCTTGGGAACACAACACTACCCTCCTTAATGGCATATAAGGTAACTTTTGATGAATCTAACTTGCCAAGATATTCTAAAAACTCTTCGTCACATTCTGGGATCATTTCACGAATATGATTTAAATTTTCTTTGGTATAGTGAAAATCATTTACAAATCTGATTACCTCTTCTAAACCTGCAAAAACTGTAAATTCGCCACCAAATGGTGATTTTCTAAAATACAAATCAAATACTGATGGGATTTCGTGTCTATTATTCTTCCAAAGTGAATATGCCATCGTAATTTGATATAAATCTGTTAACATTGGACCAACAAATCCATTTAATGGTTTCATTTTACCCTTTGACTCTTCATCTTCATAAACATAATTTACTGTAGTTGCTCTTTTTAATTCTCTAACAATATTACTGTTTGTAGTTCCATTTGATTCGTCGATTTTCTAAAAAATAAAATAAAAAAATAAAATATTTATTAGTTTATAAATTTATTAATTATGTAATTATAATTTTATTAAAATGAAAAAAATTAATACCTTTCTTTTAAGTGGGGTGCTAGATTGATTTGACATTTTGAATTTATTATTTTTAAATTAAAACTGTTTTTTGGTGCACAATATTTTTATAAAAAAGAAAAGTTATTTTTATCTTTTCAATTAAAATTTTAATTTAAAAAATATATATAAATTATAAAAGTGGAAAAAAAAAAAAAATTTTGATGATAAAATTAAATAATAATATTATCTTTTATTTGTATAACTATGATTATTAATATTGCAATGGTAAAAATATTAAAAAAAAATTAAAAAACAATTTAATTTTCAAAAAATTAAAAAAAAAAAAAAAAAAAAAAAAAATTTTATTAAATTAAAAAAAAATTAATTTTTTTCCAAATAAATTATTAATTATTTTTTTTTTGTCATTTATTCGAAAGTTTTAAAAGAACTTGGCACTTATACTTTTTAAGTATTTTGATGATTCTTTTTGTTTTTTGGGTGATTGTTATTTTAAGTATAATTGATCGTTATGATTATTTGAATAGTAAAATTATTAATATTATTATTATAGATTCGATTGTGACTATGCATTCTGTATTCATGGGTAGAACATTACATACTCTACCCCTGGGTTTAAAATTTGACAGTATACTATTTATGGAGCCGTCTAAATTAAAAATATTGTATATTTTGGTAAAATAAAAGTGAGCTCCCAACAAAAGTAGCAATCTGCATTATTTTAAACAACGATGGAAGAACCCGGACAGGGTGTTGAATTAAATTTTTTTTTTAAATTATATGTTTGAGTATGACAATTCTGAAGTTGGAGCTTTAAGTACTTAGTTTTTCAATAGCAACTTCTTAAACTTGAACCCATCAGATACTATTTTCTTTGGGAAGCCATATTAAATATATTTGAAAAAACTATTCAGGATGTTTCTCTAAAACTAGTTTGTATATAACTGAAAATGAGCTCTATCATGGTGAAATGTATGTGCAGGTATAATATATAAAAATATCTACAAAACATTGCAATGAAATGAGTGTGTGAAAGTTTATAAAAAAACAAATAAAAATGAAAAACTTGAAAAAATTTAGTTGATAGGGCCAGACAGGAAATGAGTTCAATAAAATTTAAGCTTGACTGTATACAAATGACTTTTTGATTAAGATAGCTTGTAAAGAATAGCCTCATTGTGTTGAATTTATTAGTTTGACTAATTAAATTGAATATTTGTTTTAATTATTAATATTGTTTGTTGTAATTGGTGATTATATTCAAAAAAATAATTATTATAACTATAAAAATTTACTAAATATATGGGTCTAAAGATTAACAGAACTTCTCTTTGTATAGACAAATTTAAAATCAAAATCGAAAAGTAAAAACAAAAGTTGAAAAAACATGAAATTATATATAAATTTGGCTTGAAACAAAAATCTTGTTCTGAAAATTAAAGTAATTCTTAAACTAAATAAATATTAGAATATTAGTTTATATTTAAATATAACTATGTAAATATTATCATTATAGTTACATAATAATTTATTATTTATTTGGATTGGTAATTCCTTTATCATTTTTTGCCTTTCAGATTGCTTCATTAAATAAAGATTTATTTTCACCTCTTGAATAAAAAGTCAGGACTAACTTGTACCAATATTTTAATAATTTGTTGTCGTCGTATGGTAAAATTATAATAAAATGAATATAGATAGTTATATGGGATGAAATATAAGGATGTATAAAAACATGCAATGTAATTTTATTTATAAAAATATTTTAAATAAAAAAGGGAAGAAAAAAATAAAATAGAACTATATAAAAAAAAAATTAATTAAATTGAGTATAAAATAATTATATATATAATTGAACTGGTGTGGACCTTTGGGTTGTATTGTATGCAAAAGACTACTACTGAAAGCTTTGATTTTTAATGAATAAATAAATAAAAAAAAATAAAATTTATAAAAAAAAATAAAATAAAAAATATTAAAAAAAAAATTAAATTATTTTTTTTAGAATAAAATATATAGATTGATGTTTATTATTAAAAGGTGAAAAATGTGTTATTTAAATTTTTTTATTAAAATATATATTTTTTCTTTAAATGAGTGAAATACATTATTATATGCAGTGGAAAATGGGTGAAATTTATAAAAAAAATATATTATATATTTAAAAAGGGAAATTATTTACCATTATCAATAATTCTAAACAAAATAAACCTAATTTCTCATTAACTTTTGACCTAAGTTTAGATTGTTTGAAAAAGTAGGTTAGTTCTTCATCTATAATAAATATTTCCATGATAATTGGTAAAACTAATCATAATTTTTAGTATCAAAATAACTAATTATTTAAAATAAAGGAAAAAATATAAATATATTATTTAGTTTAGGTATAATTATAACTGTTATATTCATTTAATTCCAAAATGAATATGAATACATTACAATTTTGGTAATAGTAAGATTATGAAATCTTCGGGAAGATACCTGCATAATAAAAATCGCCTAGACATGGGATCGAACCATGGACCTAGCGGTTAACAGCCGCTCGCTCTGCCTACTGAGCCATCCAGGCTTTTTTGAATAAAAATATAAATCCAGCCCTCCTGGTCAAAATAAAATTTAAAAAATCAAAATTAAATTGCTAAAAATTCTTTTAAAAATAAATTAATAAAAGTCGTGTTAACCTTTGCACCATTCTTATTGAAAGGGTAAGTGGTTAGAAATTAATACAAAATACTCATCCTTTTTTAAAATAAATATTGACTTTTTAAAAATGGTTACAGTTGTAAAGTTTATGATAAAATTATTTGAATTTAGAATAAATAAATTACAAGTCAAAAAGTTAAATTAAAAAAATAATTTATATAAATATTTCTAACCGAGTATTTTATTTCAAGGAAAACAAAGAATTTCTTATTTCAAACTTTCAATGATAATTTAAAAAAAAAAAAAATGAAATGAAAATAAATATATTTTTATGTGTTAAAACTAAGTTAAATAAATGGTTCTTTTTTTAAATTTAAATTAATTTATTTCATCAATTTTTCTTTTTTTATCTTTTTTGGCTTGTATTTCCTTATTATTTTTATTATTATTATTGCTGTTGTGGTTATTATTTTTATTATTTACATTTTCAATATTGATTTTATTATTACTATTATTAATTTTATCACCATTTGTATAATCAATTTTTTCAAATAAAGCAACGAAAAAACCAATTGTAAAATCTTTTGATGGGGTCATTCTGATTGAGTATTCTGAATTTTTATAAATTGGTAAACCTCTACTATGATTCCAATGAGGTAAAATATTTACTACTCTCCATTTTTCACCATCTTTATTTAACTCTTTAATAGCACGTTCTACTACATCCTCATTTTCTACTTGATGAACTGAACATGTTGAATATATTACCTTTTTAACGTTTGGGAATGCAAAGGCATGCTGAATAATAGATAATTGGAAATCTGCTAATAACTTTACACGTTTTTCTTCCTCTAATTTTTCCTCTGAATCCAACTCTTCTTTTGATTTGATGGGTACTTTAGAATTTGTGTTTGCTGCATTGGTTTTTAGTTTTTTATTTGGCCCACCACCTTGCTGTTTTAATAATTTCTTTTTTTCTTTTTTTAAATCCCTTTTGCTTAATCCCAATGGATTTGATTGTGCTGACTTATCACTACCTTTGCTAGTATTACTACTATTACGAGTCTCCATTTGATTAAAAATATCATTTAAATCCTCATCATTTTCATCAATTGATTCGATATGGTCGCCACCTGAATATTTTGTTGGTAATAAATAGTCTAAACGATTAACAATACCAGAACCTGAGCACGAAGGGTCACAAAGGATATATTCTACGTCTTTGAATTTTGGATCGTCATGTTTTAAATTTAAAAAACTATCGTTGATTGCTTCAATATTTTTACAGAGAGATCTTTTTGTAAGCTTTATTAAGGTACCACAACGTTTTTGATCTTTTTCAATAGCATAAACTTTACCAGTATTACCCATTTGAGCAGAAAGTAAACTTGTTTTATTACCTGGAGCAGAGCAACTATCGATACAAACTGAGCCTTTTGGTGGTGATAAAATAAAGGATGGTAAACAACTTGCTTTATCTTGAAGGATAATATGACCATTTTCGAGCATTTTGTGGTCATGTAAATCTATAGAGTGGTGGAACACAAGTATCTCTTTGAAATCTGGATCTTGATAAAACTCCTTTTCACCCAATATAATATTTGATTGCTCTTCGACTGTGCCATCTTCTTTTTTAATTAATTTTTTTGTTAATGGTGGTTGCTGAGCCAACATTTCATAGCCTTCACTTTTAAATTGATCAATTGCCTCTTGAACAGCATTTACTCCTTGCAATGTATTGACTCTGACATAACGTGGCAATGTAATTGGATATCTGATATGGTCTGGTAATAGATCTATATTCTCCTTGCACCTCTTTTGAATCTTTAAACGGGCCAATGCTGAATTTATTTGGGTTTGATATTGTAATAAAGTCTTCTTTGCATGACCGCCACCCTTGATCGATTGATGTGCACTAAATAGTAATTCGTATATCATTACAATCATTAAGCTATACTTCATAGTTTTATTCTTTTTATACTCTTTATCTAAATTGGGTGTCATCTCTATTACCTGATCCACAACACTTTTATACTTTAATGTCTCGCACACTAATGCATAACATGTTTTTGAAGTTTTAACATTAATGTTCCTATTATAAGTCAACCCTTTAATTGAACCCTTTTTTAAAATTAACTTTTCTATAACCTCCGATGCCTGTTGATAAAAATCACACATCCTTCTAATATATAATATAAAAATAAAAATGAAAAATAAAAATGAAAAATAAATAATAATTAAAAATTATAATCTTTTTTTTTTTCGTTTTTTTTTTTTTAATTTTTTTTTTAAAATTTAAAATTTTTTAAAAGTAATAATATGATTTTTTTGGTAATAATATTTTATATAATTACTAAAATTAAATTATTGATAAATTTAGTTTTTTTAAAAAAAAAAAAAAAAAAACTATGATTATAGTTTTGTTTTTTTTTTATATTTATATATTTTATTAAAAAAGTTTTATTATTATTACTATTATTTATTTTAATTTGAATTATTTAAAAATAATTTCTTTGAAGATTTGATGGTTGGGTCTTTTTTCTTTAATTGTATGTTTTCTTTTGGATTTGTTTTGGTTGGTGGAGTATCAGTTAAAAATTGGATTAATTCAGGTTGTTCGTCACGGGTATCGACTAATAAAGCGATTTTTCTAAGATCTTCTGGTAATTCCATAACAGCATCAAATTGGTATCTTAATTTTTCAACTTCTTCTTGATCTCTTCTTTTTGAAATATCTTTAGAGTATTTTTCATATTCGTAAATGATTTTTCTTAATTTAACTTCTTCTTCTGATCTTTTAGTGTTGATTTGATCTGGACGTCTAAATTTTTGTGTAAAACCTGAAATAATTTTTTGATATGAACCTTTTGATACTTTAATATCGTATTTTGAAATATTGTCATTACCACCTTCTTCTTCTTCGCCCTTGTTTCTTCTTGATTTTTTTTGTTGTTTTGGTGCTGTTGAGTAAGATGCTATATTGTTAACATTTTTGCTAATGCTATTTATAATGATTGATTTATTAATCTTATTTATTGATGTTAACATTTTTTGTATATAAAATATTTAATAATATATTATTATTATTTAAATTGCTTAATAGGTTAATTTAAATTATAATTTTATGAATATGAATTTTGATTATTATTATTTTATTTACAACACACAAAAGAAAAAAAATAAAAAAAATAAAATTTAAAAAAAATAAAAATTTTTTAAAAAAAAAAATGAAAAAAAAAAATAAAAAAAAAATAAAGGTGAAAAACGAAAAATAAAAAAAAAATTAATATTTAAACAAAGTCAAATTCCTTTGAAATATTTATTGTATTATTATCTATAATGTTTGGAGGATATTTTAAATGTTTTATATAACTTGTTTCTTCTTTAACTACTTTTAAATATTTTTTGAAAAATTCGCTATTATCATTTTTGTTCTCTATGGTGGCACTAAATTCAACTTTTAAAAATCTTGGGTTGTCTTGAGAAAGTTGGTCCATTTTAAAATTGGTTTTGATTATTTGGTTTGGTTCTATTGGTATTGATGTATCAAAATAATATAAACTTTGTTTCCAATGAGTTTCATCTGAGAATGGGGATGTGGATAATACAATCTCTTTATCGTTTTCATTTGCTTTTGGAAAAGTTACATCAAACCACACAACAAACCCATTTAATGTCGCTATTTGTTTTTTTTTTAAAAAAAATTATAAAGAAAATTAATATCATTTAAAATCAAAAAAAAAATTTTAAAATTAAAATTAAATAGTTACCATATTGATTCGATTTGAAAATATATTCAAGGTTCTTATTGTTAAATATTTCCAACGGGTTGTTTTGGACTAGCTTTGAATTAAATTGATTTGTAATTAATGGAGTTGATGATAATAGTAGTTGTGGGGGTATGATATCAATGATTGGTAATGAAAATTCATTTTCTATAGATTTGTGAATTAATGATGATAGGTCCAGACTGTAGGAATTGTTTTGCCATAATTCAATTTTTTGATCAATGATTTCGCTATCTGTAAATGGGCATAGGTATATTTTAGAATTACTTGGATACATTTGACCTGATTCTTTTAACCATTTATCTCTTGCATATAATACTGAAGGAAGCATATTTTCATATAATAAACTGTATCCCATCCACTCTGAAATAATAACATCTACTTTTTCAGGCAATTCTATATCTTCAACCCTTGAGTGAAATAATGTTATCTTTTCTTCAAATCCATTGTCCCTAATTAATTGTTTTGCTATTAACGCAGTATCGCTTGCTTCTACACTATACACTCTTTTGGCACCTGCTTGAACACAAAAAAATGACAATATACCTGTACCAGCACCCACATCTAAAACAACCTTATCTTTAAAATGCTCTTCTTTATTTTGAAAAATTGCCTTTCTATATGTATCGGTTCTAATTTTATCTGATATCATTTGTTCATGAATACCCATTGATGAATATCCTTTAAAATAGTATTTATCATGTTGTTGTTGTTGTTGAAATAGATTTACATTATTTTCAGTTTTTTGTTTTTTGCTATTATTATTATTGGTTTCAAATAACATAATTATAATATTATTTTTGGATTGCGCGTAATTTATATTTAAATAAACTAAAAAATTTAAAAAAATTTTAAAAAAATTAATTTTTTTTTTAAAAATAATGAAAAAAAAATTTCTATTTTGGAATTGCATAAATTGGTATCCAATTTCACCAAAATTAATTTTGTGGGTTCCAACCAAACCTTTGAAAACTATTCATAATAATAAAGTAATATAAAATGATACTAAATGTGAAAATTTAACTGGCCAATACCACACAATCTAAAATTAGATATTGGTCGAGTCTGTGCATTTCATAAAATTCAAAGTTTTCATTTATTCAAAAAAAAAAAAAAAAAAAAAAAAAAAGTAGATCTGGTTGAAAGATTTGGTTGAAAATGTGAAACAAAAAAATTAAAAAAAAATAATTAAAAATAAAAAAAAACTTTTTTTTTTTTCAACGTCGTTGAGAAAATATTATTTATCATTTAAAATATAATAAATTGTTCGCTCAACCTCTTTTTTTTAATTTTTTTTTTATTTTTTTCGGCTAAATCCATATGACATACAAAAAAAATTGATGAAAAAAAATAAAAGTTTTTTTTTAAAACCAACCAATCTAAATTAGATATTTTTTATGATTGTTATTTTTTTTTTTTTTTTATTTTTATTTTTTTTATTTTTGGTTTACTAAGAGGTTAACATTATGTGGGGTGGGAAAACTCTCATTTCTGTTAAGATAAACATAAGGTGAAATTTTTACCATTATTTTTTATTTTTATTTTTATTTTTATTTTTTATTTTTTTTTTTTTCAATTAATTTTTTCCAATACTTACCATACATTTGTTGGTTGTGGTTTTAGTTTTTATTATTTGAAACATTATAAATAAAACACGTATAATAATAAAATTAATTTTTTATTATAAACAACAGCAACAACAAAACTATTAATTTAAATTAAAAATAGAAATAAAAATAGATTAAAAAATGGTTATAACAACTGGTGAAGCTACAGACAAATTGCTGTATTCCTACATGGGAATAAGGATATTGGTGTATATTGTATTTTTTATATTGAATTCGTTTCAAACGTTTCTAGAAGGTCGAACATTATGGAGAAAAAAACAAAAAACCACCACAAGATTTTATATATTTTTAAGTATGGCGGGTTTTACAATGTTTAGAATTTTATCAACTGCATTTTTTTATCCAGAAAAAGACGAATATAAATCAGGAACATTAAGCTTTTTCTTTTTTACATTTGGAACCACATGTATTTTTATTACCTGGGTTTTCATTTTACATTTTTGGTAAATTTTTCAAATTTAAAAAAATAATTATTTTAAAATAATTCATATTAACTTTTTTAAATTTAAATTTATATTTTAGGTTATTAATAATGTATTCATTTTTTGTATCAGACGAAGTAAAATTGGACAAATTGAAGCCTATCAATTACTCAACATTTATATTTGTTACAGTTTTGGTTATATATCAAATCACCATTGCAACACTTTCATTATTGGTGGATCTTCAATTTGCCGAAGCTGTTTGTTTTGTAGTTTTATTATTGATTTATTGTACTTTAATTATTGTAAATGGTTCGATTTTATTAAAGAGCTTAAAAAAACATAAAAAAAACAGTCCATTCGAACACTATAATCAAATGATTTTTAAAACTAAAGTTTTATTGGGAACTTTAATTTGTGTTTTCTCTTTTACCATCATCGAAGAAGTCGTATTTCAACTTGTAGTTCCAGACACATTCGGCAATCATGTCGCATATTTATTTGTAACAGGTAATTATTTTCAGTAGTATTTTAAAATTATTATAATTTTATTAAAATTTTAATTTTTTTTTTGATAAAAAAAATAGGTGTGGTAGATACAACACAGATGATTATAGTAATGGCAGTTTTAGCAAATGGCCACTTTTCACATTATATATTATTTAAAAGAGTCAAAACTACATCTTACAGCTCAGCTGATAAAACAAGTCATGGTATGTATTAAATTAGTTCATAACTTTTTTTTGAATAGTTTAACTAATTTTTTTATCAATTAAATTAAGAATCTGGGTCAAGAGGTACCAAAAAAACACAACCATCATACGATGTCAGTGGTAGAGCATCGATGTCTGTAGAGTATTCTTTAGATATGGACACATTCCAACCCTCATCTCTTACAATGAAAAATAATAATAGTGGTAGTAACCTCAATAACAATAATAGTAGCAATAGGACATTTACAAGTGTTGTAGTTAGTAACGATGAAAATGATACACCCACAAGTTCAGTAAATAGTAGCAGCAGTGAGGTTACAATTAATGTTACTACAGAACAATAATCACCAATAACTATATATTTACATTCATATATCTCATTTTATTTATAAAATCAAACCAAATTTATTTATTCAGATTTCTTTTACCTCCTATTAATTGTAATGGGTTATTACAATAAAAATTAGGAAATACAATACCTATATACAGTATATATTTCGTGGTAGTGGGTAAATTTAAAAAAAATAAAAATAAAACCATAAAATTGTATTTTTAATTATTTATTCATTTAATTTGATTAGGAAAAAACGTTCCTAATTCATATTGTTATAATAAAAATAAGTTAAAAAAAAAACAAAAAAAAAAAATACTTGGGTGGGGGTTATATCTCGGATAATAATTTAATTAATTAATTAATTTATAAATTAATTAAACAGTTTGTAATTTAACCCCACCGATTTTTTTTTTTAAAATTCATTGTTATCTCCTTTTATTATTTTTTGTTTATTTCCTAAAAATCAAATCAAACCTCGATGATCATACATTAATCAAGATAAAATAGCACATAAAATTTTTTTTTTGTCTTTTTGTTTTCTTTTTTTTTTAAGATTCAAAATAAACCACCAACCATATATCATTTTTAGTGGTTTAACATAAATCAACAAACTAAAATTAATAATTCATTAACTATATTTTATTATATTTAATTAATTAATTAAAAATCATTATAAGAAAAAAAGGGAATTTTGGATGGATTATCCCAAAAAAAATAAAATAAAATAAAGAAAAAAAAAAAAAAAATTATTTTTTTTTAAAAATTTATTTTGTTTTATTTTTTTTTCATTTTTTATTATTTTATTTTTTTATCATTTTATTTTTTGTATGTTGCATAAATATAAAATATAATAAAATATCAAAATTATCACATTATAATTTATTTATTCATTAAATTCATTATTTTTATTTATTTTATTATTTATATAAAAACTCTCACACACATCCACACACACACTCATTTTTCACACCACGTAACATTATCCACCAAAAGTTATACACATATATAAATTTATATATTTATATCATTTTATTCACACACACACCAACCTATATACTTTGATTTTAAATAATTTTATTTTTATTTTATTATTTTTTTTTTTACAATATTTTTAAATCAAACAATATACACCCAAAAAACAAATAAAACAAAAAACTTATTTCTTGCATACAAAAAAATAAAAAAATTGTAAATATCTATTTTAAATTTTATAATAATAATAAAATAAATAATAGTTTCAAACTTTTTTAATTTTTTATTTTATTTAAATTAAAATTTAAATCAAAATTAAATAAAACTTTAAAATTAAAAATTATTAAATAAAATTCTAATCCATAATTATTCATAATTTTTTTATTGTAATTATTAATAGTTTCTTTTCCTTCCCAAAACTATTATTTACTATTTATATATTTTATAAATATAGGAAAAATTTTAATTTAAAAAAAAAAAAAGAAAAAAAGAAAAAGATATAGATATGTCATCTCCATCATCTTCAATTATATCCACTTCTTTATCATCTTCAATATCATCATCTTCAATACATAATTATAACAATAGTAATAATAAACGTTATATGAACATATTGTTATTACCATTGGAGTTATTAGAAAAGATATTTAAATTTTTAGATCAAAAGACTTTATGTTCAGCATCACTTGTAAATAAAAAATTTTATAAAAAAGTAAATATAGTATGGCACACCATCGACTTATCAAAATCCTCTCATCACTTTACACACTTGCCACAAAAAATTAAAAAACTAAGCAATGTAAAAAAAAATAAAATAAGAATTTTAGAAAGTATATGTAATAATTTAATTTTAAATAATGGTTTTTTAGTACCACCTTTATCAAATAAAAATATAATATTCAAAAAGAATTATAATAGTAATAGTAGTAGCAGTGGTAGTGGTAGTGGATGTAATTCTAATAATAATAGTAGAAGAGGTAGTTTAGAATTAATCTCAAACGTAAATAATAATAGTATCAGTAGCCAAAGTAACAATAGTAATAGTTTAAATAATAGTAGTACTAATATTAACAATAATAATAACATTAGTAATAATAATAATAATATTAATAATAATAATAATAATAATAATAATAATAATAATAATAATAATAATAATAATAATAATAATAATAATAATAATAATAATAATAACAACAATAACAATAACAATAGTAATTGTATATATAAGGAAACAACATTTTTAGATGAACACTTTGATAGTAATAATAATAACAGCGCAGATAAAACACAAAATAACCAAGTATATGAAAATAATAATTATAATAATATAAATAATTTAGAAATTAGTTTTATTGATAACAATACAGGCAATATTAATAATATAAATAGTATAAATAATAATAATGAAAATGTTGTATTAGAAGAAAATTCATTACAACCAACTCAACATTTAACAAAGCAACAATTAAAGCAATTAAAAAAACAACAAAAACAGCAACAGCAGCAACAACAGCAAAATGAACCAATTAAAATCAATAAGGCATTAAAATTAGAAAAAGAAATTGAAATTAGAATTGAAAAAAGAATGGAATTGTTTTTCAAGGGATTATGCATAAGATTCCAAAGAATTGAAGTTTTGGATTTATCAGGATGCACAGAATTAAAGATGGACTCATTGATGTTGCTAGTCAAAACTTTTTCACAAACTTTAAAGAAATTGGTTACTCGTAGATGCAAATCACCAACTATTACAGATGAAAGCTTCTCAGAGATATTTGTTTATTGTAGAAAATTAACGACATTATCATTGGGTGAAATGACATCTATAGGAGACCACACTATCGAAAACGTTGTTAAAAACTGCACACAATTAGAAGCATTGGGAATAGGTCGTTGTCAACAAATTACCGATCAATCCATTTTATTGATGGCTCGTAGTGAATCATTCACTAATCGTCTTAGGGTAATTGGACTCAACCATCTATCTCATCTCAGTGACGACTCTATATTAGAGTTGGGTATGAACTCTAAAAATTTAAATATTTTTAGTGTTTGCAATTTGACACAACTCACATCCGACACTCTTTCAAAAATATTTTTAAACTGTGCAATGTTGGGTTCAATCGATTTAAGTGGTTGCATAAATGCCGATGATTCCGTATTGGACTCTATATCGATCCGATGTCATCAACTTTTCCAATTAAATATATCTAGAAATTCGAAAATCACCTCTGCTTCATTGAAAAGGGTATCTCAAAACTGTAAACTTCTCCGTATCTTATTCATAAGTAAAACCATGGTCGATGATGATTGTATCGTATCGATCATTGACAATTTAAATCATTTAGAAATTCTTTATTCCGTTCACTGCTCAAATTTAACCGATACCTCAATTAAATCAACACTCAATTTAGGAACTGAAAGATTATCAAATATGATTGTCAATTTTTCTTCATGTAGAAATATTTCAACTTCACTTTTATCAATTTTACAATCTTTAACAAAATCTTATGAAAAAGATAAATCAAATAATAATGAAGATGATTAATATTATTTTTAAATAAAACAATTAATTTATTAATTTTTCATTATAAAAAAAAAAAAAAAAAAAATTCTTTTTATCTATTTTGTGATGATCATAATTAAATATTAACTTTTTTTTCTTTTTTATTTTTTTTTTATTTATTTTTTTTTTAATTTTTTTTTTTTTTGCAATTTGTTTTTTTTTAATTTTTTTTTTGAACATAAATTATTTTTTTTTTTAATTTTTTTTTAATTTTTTTTTTATAAATTAAATAATTTTTCTGTACATATAATTTTTTTCATCATTTTTATACATATAATATAATATAATGTTTTTAACAAGATCAGAATACGATAGAGGTGTTAACACTTTTTCACCAGAAGGTAGATTATTTCAAGTAGAGTATGCACTTGAAGCTATTAAGCTTGGGTATGTTATTATAATATTTTCAAAATGATGGTGGTTGCAACAATAATATAAAGATTGATTACTAATTATTTATCTTTTTTTTTTTTTTGTTTTATTCCTATATAGCTCAACCGCGTATGTTTAATCATAATCACAATATAAATATTTTTTTTTAATTTATTTTATCTAAATCAAATAATATTTTTTTTATTAATCAATAAATATAATTATAGTATTGGTGTTCAATGTGAAGAAGGTGTTGTTTTAGCAGTAGAAAAGCGTCTTACATCACCACTTTTAGAACCATCATCAATTCAAAAAGTTGTAGAAATTGATTATCATTTAATTTGTGCTCTTTCAGGTTTAACAGCTGATTCAAGAACTATTATAGATCATGCTAGAATTGAAACTCAAGTAAATATATATATATATTATATTATATAGCAAAATTAGAAATGGTTTACATGTAAACCATAATTCATTTATACTAATTTTTATTTTTATTTTTATTTTTATTTTTTTAATTATAATTATAGAACCATAGATTTAATTATGATGAACCAATGGGTGTAGAATCATGTGTACAATCAATTTGTGATTTAGCTTTAAGATTTGGTGAAAATAGATCATCAGGTGAAGAAAGAATGAGTAGACCATTTGGTGTTGCATTATTAATAGCAGGTGTTGACGAAAAAGGACCATCATTATATTATTCAGATCCATCAGGTACATTTACACAATTTAATGCTAAAGCAATTGGCGCCGGTTCAGAAGGTGCTCAAACAACACTCCAAGAAAAATATTCAAAAACTCTTACTTTACAAGAATGCCAAAAACTTGCATTAACAACTTTAAAACAAGTCATGGAGGAAGCCATCACCACCACAAATGTTGAAATTGCAGTTATTACTAAAGCAGAAGGCAAATTTAAAATTTATGATAAAGAAGAACTTGCTGCTGTTATTGCAACTTTAACTGAATAAATAATATTAATCATTTTTAAAACAAAAACAAAAGACACAACAATAACAATAACAGTAACAATAACATCAACCCCTTTTTTTTTATTTTTATTATTTATATTCACACACCCTTTTTTTTTTTTTCAAAAATAAATTTTTTAAAAAACCACACACATCAATCAAACCAAATCCAACCAAAAATTATGTTTACATTTAAAAATAAAAATATAACAACGAAAAATTTGTTTTCATTATTTATTTTATCTTTTATTTTATCTTTTATTTTTTTATTTATTTTTTTTTTAAAACTAAACCAAAAATACCTGTATTTTTTTTAAAATTATTTTTTTTCTTTTTCTATATTTACTATACTCCCCCACTCAAACATTTCATTTTAAATCGCTTGTGGTTGTTGTGGTTGTCGCTTTGAGTGAATTTGGAAGTATTTTTTGAGAATTATTTGTATTTTCGATTATTATATTATACCTATTTTTTGGAGTGTTTGCAAAAATATTTTCAAACTGTCAAATTATACCTGGAATTGGGTTATCTCCCAGCCAACTATTTGGTTCCAATGATTTATTAACCCATATTCAGGCTAGGTTAATTCCGCAATAACAACCACTACAACCTCAACTACAACTACTTAAAACAAAAATAATAATAATATTCCCTTTACCAATCAATTCTATTTTATTCCAACCACTACTTCAATCTATAAATGGGGCCAATGATCATATTCACCACTATAATGGTAATCCTAATCATACACTGCAATTTACACACCAATAACAACATGAACAATAATAATCACCACAGCTCATCGCATCAAAATCAACACCATTCACCAACATAATCAATATTTATCCTTCATAAACTCAATTACCAATATAAATACATTTCCGAACTTTCCAAATGCACCACACCTTACAAATAATAAAATTTATTTATTTGTTAAAAAAAACCAAATTGCTCCAAAAAAAAATATATTTTTATTATTTATTTAATTAAAAAAATGACATTGAAATTTTTGTGTGGGAATATAAATTTTTTGAATTTATTTTCAATAAAAAAAAAAATCATTATAAAATTATAATTTTTTTTTTAATTTTTTAATTTTTAATTTTTTTATCATTTTTTTATTTTTTATTAGTTTTTAAACATTTATAGTATAAAATGAACAACGGGGATACAAATTCCATAAATAACCATGGTATTAAAAATGCATCAAATCTAAACCAGTATCACATCATCACTATAAAATCCCCACCACCTAATTTAGTGTATCTGTATACCAGAAAGACCCTCATCTACATTATTACCCGCAAATCTGCCGGTCGTAAAGAGAGTCTCTTTAACATCAAATACATATTTTCCATCATTACCAACACCAATTACTTCATCTCCTCCTCCATCTCCTCCTCCTGCTACAACAACAACCACCACAACTACAACTACAACTACAACAACAAATTCAAATATAAAAATACCAAAAGCACAATCACCACCAAACAATACACAACCTAACCCTCGGTCATTAAGAAGTGAGGAATTTATAAATAATATAATTCAAATTTTAGCAATATCATCTCCAAAAACAAAAAGAAATTTATACCCCTGTAGATTCCCAGATTGCTCCATTTCTATATCAAACATTCCTAAACTAAAACAACATCTAGCTTCCCATTTTAAAGATAACGTTCCTACAATGATTTTTCTATGTGAATTTGGTGACCTAGACTGTTCTTTTTCAACATCTTCAAAGGATCAAGCATTTGAGCATTTACAAAACTTTCATTGCGAATCAGGCCCGATTGATAACTTTTTTTCTACACTTAATTTAGATCTTAAAGATGAAACAGAAGAAGAGGAAAAAGAAAACTTTGACAATTTTTTAGATTCGAAAAAAAGATCTCTTGATGACATTGATAATTTAGCTTCAAATAGTAATAATAAAAAACTGAACATCAATAACAACAATAATAATTTTAATAATAATAATAATAATAATAATAATATTGACGATATTATTGACATCGATACTATCGATATTGACAATATTGATATGAATCCGCACGACAATGTAAATAGCACTCAAAACAACCAAATTAATAGGGAACTGCAGATTATTTTATCCAAAGTTAAAATCATAGATAATACCATAAACAGCATTTCAGATTTCGAACAGAAATTAATGAAACATGATTTTAATGCAATTTTAAAAAGATTCTTTAGGAACCATCCAACCATCAACAGATCAAGACTTGAAAACGATATTATAATAGAATACATTAGGTTTATAATTTTAAAATTTATATATGATAAAAATTCAAATTCGGTAATATTACCACCTCCGATGGTAAGTATTCATTTCTTTTTTATAATAAATTTATATACAATTATATACTAACAGATATTTATATTTATAATATACAGATTGAAAGTTTTTGGAAACTACATTTATTGGACACAAACAAATATCAGGAATGGTGTCAAGTTTTTAAAATGCAAATTCACCATGATCCAGGATTATACTCTAAAGGACCAACATTCAAAAAAAAAGCCTATGCCAATACTTTAAATTACTATAATTCAATTTTTGTTGGGAAA